CTGGTTACTTCTGACTGTTCTGATCCTCCTGAAACCCAGCTGAGTACAGGGAATCCCACCTTTGGGTGTTTGGTTCCTTAGCCTCATCCTAACTGCATGAGGGAGAGTGTCCCTTCTCCTAATAGTCTTTTGTGCAGAATTCTGACATCATCAAAGGTTTACAAGAATAAATTCAAGATTTAAAGATGTAAGTTATATATATTAAAAAAAAAACCACACTTAACATATGAATGGTAATAATGAAAATCTACATACTGTATAATGATTTCTGTGAATTTTTTCCTAAACAGCACAAGATGTGGCTAGTCTGAGAATCACCTTGTGACAATTCTTATATAAATAAGACATTAATTTGCTTAGAAAGTGAGAAATCCTCAACATAACAAATACCTGAATGTATTTCACTGAAATTGTCAGCAGTCTTTTCCGTCAGACGTGCTTAAAGAGCAACTGCAGAGCACAAATAACTGCTTTTCTCAGCATGCTCCAACTGAGAGGAAATAGAATTGTAATGAAGTCCACGCAGGCTGTGGGCTGCCCCGGCAAACACTACAATAAAAACACTCTCCTCCCTACTCGAATCACCTCCAGCTGAGGTGGCTAATTAGAAAATCCTAAATCAGGACATAAGCTCTTTGAATTCAAGAAAGTTGCCAGCTCATTTTCGGGTTTACTTGCACATCTCCAGCTGCAGCAAAGCAACGGACAGTATGTACTACAACATGGAAACGGTCTGTTCCCCCATTTGCCTTCAGGGCGACAGAGTTATGACTCATTATTTAACGTGTTTCCCGTCTCGGTCCTGCTTGTCGTCAGCTGCCCACCTCACAGGCCTGTCCCCTCTAGAACGTCTCCACTCTGCCACGAGCATTCTCTTCCTAGGAGTTCAGTCACTCACATTTCAATGCCTCATGGACTATTATGTATTTTACATTTTTATTTTGCTCACATCTAAATTGATTTGTGTCTAAGCTCGTTCATGCCCCACACATTAATAGCTGTGAAAGCACACATATGATTTATTGTCACACAATAGAAAATCTTCACAAAACACACCAGATAAAGGACTTGCATATGGAATATGTAAAGGACGTTCATTTATAATTCAAAAAAGGAAAAACAATCCAACTTACAAATAGTAAAAGGTTTAAATAGACACCCTACAAAAGACACACCAATGGCCAATAAACACATCATGAGATGATGATAATGATGATATGTTCAACATCATTAGGCAGACAAATGCAAATTAAAACCCCAATGAGATATCACTAACCACTAAAATTTAGAAGATTAATAGTTCAAAGTTGGTAAGGATGTGGAATAATTGAAAGTATCATACAATACTGGCAGGAATATAAACTTATACAGTTTATAGAAAGAAAACAAAACAAAAATCCTAACATTTCCTTAAAAGTTTGAAATACAATCTCTGACTGGAAAAAGTCCAGCCATTATTCATATAACAAGAATGGTTTGCGCTACATCCATGTAAACTGGCAGCCAAGGAGAGTGGACTGGAATGCCCATGCATGAACAATGATGACTTCACTGTGCTGGTCAGTGGGGGTAGTAGACACCATTGAGCGAGAGTGTGTGTACTGTGTGGCTGTTGCATGCAAAATGACTGAGCGAGTAGAGCAATGAATCTGCATCGAATTTTACATTCAGTTTGAGTATTCCTCTGTGGAAAGGAAACTATTCGGATGATTCGGAAGGCTGCAGCTATGGGCAACTGGTGATTGGCAGCTTCATCAGGACAACATGCTGGCTCATGCATCACTCCTGGTGCAGAGTTTTTTGGCAAAACATCAAATCACCCGGGTGACTCAGCCCCCCTACAGCCCAGATTTGGCGCCCTGTGACTTCTGGCTTTTCCCAAAACTAAAATCACCTTTGAAAGAGAAAGATTTCAGACCATTGATGAGATTCAGGAAAATATGACAGGGCAGCTGATGGCAACGGGGAGAACTGTGTGAGGTCCCAAGGTGCCTACTTTGAAGGGGACTGAGGCATCATTGTCCTGTGTACAATGTTTTTTATATTTTGTATCTTCTTCAATAAATGTCTCTATTTTCCTTCTTACATGACTGGCTACCTTCTGGAAAGACCTCATAGTGTATTCAAAAAGCCTGATTATCTCTCTAGTATACATATATGCATTTGACCTAGAAATATACACAGAATAAGCAGCATTAAAAATAAAGTTAAATATAGTTACCATAGGACCCAGCAATTTCATTTCTAATTATTCATTCAAGAGAAATGAAAAAATATGTCCTCGTCACCCCCAAAACTTGGGCATGAAGGTTCTGACGGATGTGGACAATAGCGAGCTTCTCTCTAAGTGACACACCCTTCTAAGAGCCGAGCACTTGCTGGAGGGGTGGGGGCAGCAGCTTCCAGTCCCCTCTCTTGCTCCTCCTGGTATGGAACCTCTGCCTCATGCTGAAGCCCGATATTGGCATGCGGCTCCCAACGCAGGGCTTCTCTTCCGTGAGTGGGGATTGGGCAGGAGGAGAGCGCTTTAACCAAGGAAGAAAACATGTTTTTGAGTTTACATAGCTCACTGGCATTGTTTTTGAGGTCTGCCAAACTGGCAACCCTGGGTGAAGATAATTCACAATAAACCAAAGCAGAAAGTTACCAAGAGAAATAGGTACAGATTTGGACAGATTGAAGCTTCACTTTTCCTTTTTAACCACTTAGCCCCAATTCTAAATATTATAAACCAGAGTCTGCTTCATCTGCCCGAAGGCAGGGGTATGTGGCTATCAGCAGATGCAGCCCCCAGCTAGTTTAGGTCAAATTCATGTGGCAGATAGGTGACCACAGGGGAAATGGTGGCCAAGTCTTTATCAGCACGATGACACCGGATACAGGCATACCTTCTGTTATTGCACTCGGCTTTATTGTGCTTCACAGGTGTTGCATTTTTGAACAAATTGAAGGCAAGACCCTCCACCAGCAAAAAGATTACAACTTGCCTTACTGTGGAACCCATTCTCTAACAGTGGTCTGGAAAGGACCCCGCGTCGCCTCTGAGGTATCCCTGTATTCTGGAGTGTGAAAGCCCCTCTCTAGACTCCCATTTACATTAAAGCAAACATTGAGGGCCCATGGTGCTATCGAGACAAAAATGCGATTCTTACCGTGAACAAGCTTCTCTCTGTTCTTTACAGACTGGTAAGCAGAATGATTCTCCCTGTTGCCTGCAACTTTTGAAAATGTTGTGCTATATGGCAAAAGGGACTTTGCAGCTGTGAAGTTACAGAGATTAAATTCGGATTATCCCGGATGACCTGGTGGGCCCAATCTCATCACACGAGGCCTTAACAGCAGTGACCTTTCTCCAGCTGGAGCAAGAAACAAGGGAGGTTCAGAAAGAGTTGGGGCATGGGAGGAACTGGATCTGCTGGGTGCTGGAGGGGCGCACGGTGGGAGAAGCATGTGGGCTGCTCCTACAAGCAAAGACAGGTCCCCAGCTGACAGCTGGCGAGGAAGTGGGGGACTCAGACTACAGCCACAAAGAACTGAATTCTACCTACAACCTGAATGAGCCTGGAAACACAATCCCCCCGACAGCCTCCCAAGAAATGCCCAGTCCAGCTGACAGCCTGATTTCAGCCTTGTGAGGCCCTCAGCCGAGGACCCAGCAGAGCTCGGCTGTGCCCAGATTTCAAAGCTATGGAACTGTGAGGTAATAAATGGGTGTTGTTTTAAAGCCACTAAGTTTGTGGTGGTTTGTCCTGGCAGCCATAGAAAACAAATACGTAACGCTTTTTTTTTTTTAAGAAACGAGCAGAATTCTGAAGCAAACCTGACTTGGAGTATCATTTTTTCCTCACTGCAATTGTGATGTAGGAGTCTTTGAATTCTTTGCCGAAGCCCAACACTTGCAGGCATCTGTGCCCCACTGTCCATGGCTGTAATCCATGCGAGACTGCGGCTTTATTTAGGGGGTTTTCCCTCCAAGACATTCTAGAACACACTGGGATGGAGAATGGGTTTCAGTGAGATCAGGACTGTGGCAGTAAGACCAGAGATCAGGCCGGGAACTAATCCAGCGGAGGGATGGCGTGGTGTATCTGGTAGACAGATCAGGTTGGAGAGGGAGACACTGATACCTAGTGGCTCTATAAAGGCTGCTCACGTGGAAAGTAGTCCCAGTGAGTTAAAGACAGAATTCAAGAGGAGGACTAAACTTGGGGAAAGACGATCACAGTAAAAGTTTGGTTTGGGACATGTTGAGTTTGAGGGGCTCAAGGAAGGAACATCGAGGTGGCATCCAGCAGGTAAGTGGATATTGGAAACTGAAACTCAGCTGATTCTCAATTTGAAAATCATTAACATATATGTTGATAAAATCATGTGAGTGAATGAGTAACTCAGAAGAAACTTATATATTTTCTTTTGCTTTAAAATGTAAGAAAAGAATGAAGAAGACGTATGTATAGAAAGTAACAGAGAGGAGATTTTGTTTGTTTGAGGAAAAGGATTAGAGGAGAAAGAAAAAAGAAAGGGCGTAGAAAAGATGAGGAAGTGTCCAGAAAATACAGGATCCCTCTTAGGGGAGAGAAAGGAGGTAGCTGGGAGGTGTGAAGCTAGAGAACGGCCCCCAGGAAGCACTGCCAGCCCAGGATGGCCGGCTAGATCCTTCCTGGGTGAATGAGGATGTGGCAGAACTGGCTGCTCACAGACACAGGTAACAGTATGGTCATTACCAGAGGGAAAGGGGGACGGGGCAGGTAGAAGAGGGTAAAGCGGGGATAAATGGTGATGGATGAAGACTTTGGGTGATGAACACAAGACATTCAAAGCATACAAGACAATATACAGATGATATATTATAGAAACGCATACCCGAAACGTATATAATTTTATTAATCAATGTCACCCCAATAAATTCGATGGAAAAAAACATATATAAAAGAAGGAGAGAAGGAGGCATAGGAAAAGACGACAGTGTTTAACCAGCCATTTGTCCATGGGGAGCTTCGTAAACTGGTGTTAGCAATTTGAGCAATGTTAATACTGTATTCCTCTTGGACGCAAATGCATATATACATGCAAATATACTTAAGTATATTCACTGAAGTCTTAGCTATTACAAAATCATTTACAGAGGAATTGGATACTCTCCCCACTGCCCTATTTCTGTGAAAACATTGCTGCTATCTTAAACAAGACTGAAAAATCTATTAGCTTATTCAATAGCCACCTCAGCATTCAACAGTTTCCTCCTGAAAGCTCACACAGACTTTTCCTGATACTCTTTCTGAATCCCAGCCTGGGAAAGAAACGTGAAGGCTGTGCACACAGCAGGGAGGGAGACTAAGTGCCCCCCGCCCCGGGCACAAGAGGACTCCCTGCTGCTTTACCAGCTGTGAGAAAGCAGCCATCCAGGGAAAGGACCACTTAGGACACAGTGTTTCTGATTTTTCTAGCTGGTCTGGGTGGGCTTGAAAAGAATTGAAGTTTAAAACACTCCAAAGCATCAAATGATTATTTTAGGCCATGGGGCCAGAGGCTACGCTTTCATTATCTTTCCCAAGGCCTCTGGATTTGGCTAAGAAGAAAACAGCTGTCAAGGTTCTCATAAACTCTCTCACACACCTGATTCAAGCTGTGCATGTGAAGCATCTCCAATATCTTTTACTGTTGCCTTTAAAAATTTCCCTTAGACACAGACCCAATATTGTTGTATTCAAACACATTTCTAGGACAAGGATTAAAAAGTACTTAAGTATATTTTTATTCTACTCTGTACCAGTGCCATACACACATATACACACACAACATTTTAGATTACTTAATAAGTTAAAACATTCCATGTTTTAATATTTATAACAAGAACATAAATGATCATTTCCTGAGTTGACAGTGCAATGTAAAATTTAATCTGTATTGCTAAGACTTTTTACAGCATAGAAACATGATCAAAATGACCATTTACTTTATCATGTCATAAAACACAGGAGCTCATTGTAGAATAGTGATACAATTTAAATGGCAAGGAGCTTTGTGATTCATAACAAACCACCTGTAAGGGTTTGTTGCCATGACTGACTTTCCTGGTCCAATATCAGTAGTAAAATAAGTTATGGTATAAAATAAAGCCATAGGTTATCTATACAGAAGGAATATTTGATTTCATTTAAGAAACTGAAGTCTGGAGTCTAGTTAACCTTTTAGCATATAAAAAAATGCTGTTTTAAAAAACCCTAAGCAATCACAAATGTAGGTAAAACAGTCGAATAAAAGACAATGACGGCTCTTCATTATTCCATAAAACTATGGATCTCATCTTTGGAAAAGTTAAGATCGTGCAGCAACCTGAAAAACAAATACAACGCACATGTCTCTCAGGGAAAATGTTTAAAAATAAGAAAGATTTTAGGGGTAAAATCAAAGTTTACAATCATAAGTATAGTACTTTAAAACACAATGATCACTTCTAAAAGATTAACAATAATCCTTTAATATCATCAAATATCTAGTGTTCAAATTTTCAATTGTCTCATAAATGCCATAATTTTTAAAAGTTTGTTTGAATCAAGATTCAGTTAAAGTCTACATATTATGATTAGCTGATAAGTCTCTGAGGTATCCTTTGATAAGGTTCCCCACCATCTGTCTTTGTACTGCAATTTATTTGACAAAGTAAGACTTCCATGCTGAGTCACCCACAGTCCTCATTTTGCTACATCCCTGTGGTATGTGTTAATGACATGCACTCTGACCTCTTATTGCCTGTAATTTAATAATTGGATATAGGGGCTGGATCAGACACAGGTTAAATTCTTTCTGACAACACTGTTTTATAGGCAGTATTCTTCTGTCAGGAGACACGTAACATCTGGTTGTGGTTGCCTCTCTTTTTGAATGCTAACAACTATCGATGATCTACATATAGGTTCATTAGGGATTGAAATTGGTGATATTCTACTTCTACCATTCTTTCTTCATTTATAAGCTGAGAAACTCTATAAAGAAAAACTTTTCTTTTATTATGTGGTTATCCTGTAGTACAGCTCCCATAGAAAAGGCAAAATAAATGCTTGATTTTTACCCCTTTATTCACCAGTTTTCAAAATAAGGAGTCTATCCCCATAGCATTCTATCTCTACTCTCTCCACTGAACAGAAAAAAACAGAAATACTTGGAAAACACTATAAATGGAGACTGAAATCTTAGAAATGGCTCTGTTTAGAATGTTCCTGAACATAATAAACATTTATTTAGTAGTTACTATATATACTCACTCTGCTAAGCATTTCACCATGGAAGTATTATTTCTTTCCTTTTACAGGAGAGTGCAATAAAGTTTAGAAAGGTTAAGTAACTGGACCTAGGTCACCCAGCTAATGACAGTAAGCTGGTTCTAAGTGGCAGAGATGGAGCTCACACCCAAATGGGGAGCTTCCTGAGCACACACACACGTTCAGAGCTAAGGCCAGTATGTATGGCACCGGAGACGCGAGGGCCACTCTGAGGCAGCAGTCGAGCCTCTCCCTGTGTGAGCCCGTCATACCTTTCCAGCTGCACCTCCTGCCTCCTCCGGCGCATGGCTTCACGCTAGCTACACTAGTCTTTTGAACACTTGCCTCTTTATTACATTTGCTCCTTCTTGCCCTACCTGCACCATTCTTCTCCCCTCGTATGACTAGCAACGCTAGTCATTGTAGTCCTTGTTCAAAGCACAGGTCCTTCTGACGGGAAGTGGAGTTATCTCCACTATACATGCCCCAAGGTAAAGGTAACTTGTCTCTCCCTCAATTTCCATAACACTTTCTTTTTATCGCTAGTAAGAGTATTTACGATATCCTGGTCATGTTTTAGTTATCAGTGTGTGCATCTGTCTCCATCACTAGATGGTTAGGCCTTGAGAGCAGAGACTATGTCCTTCATCTCTGTAATAGACAAAGTGGGTATTTAATGAATGAAAAAAACTTTACTGGCCAAAAAATTCTGAGTTTTTACTTATATTAAAGAAATAAGTTTCTGAGTTGTCATATCATACAAATTTGACAAATTTTCACCAAAAATGGAGAGTATGTTTGGAGTGGTTATGTTTATAATATAACCTATGCAGCAGACTAACATTAATTTTGGGGGCACTTAGGAGTAGGTATCCCAAAGGAAGAGTCATCTTTCAGGACAGAAAAAACTGTGATCTAATAAGACTCATGTACCTGCCAAGTAAGAAAGGTATGTCACATCCATTAAGAGGGTGACCACAGGAAATCAAAGAAATAAGAGTCCTAGAGTGAAATTCACAAGGGCTCTGAACTGCAGGTACTGACTTGAATTGAGCTACATCTCAAGGTAACCCTGTGCGCTGTGTTTAAGGGTGAGCAACAGCAGGGACTCGTGTATGCTGACTGATAGTACTCACAAGCAGCTCTGGGTGGGTGCAGCACAGAAAGATTAACTCTGAGGTAAAGTTGAGAAAATAAAGCTGTAGAGATTACAGTCAATTTTAAAAATGCAAAAATACTGGAACTGTGGCTACCTTCTATTCAATTATACATGTACTGAGGCTCCAGTATGCAAGATAGTGGGCTAAGTTTTGCCTGGAACCGAAATGAAGAGCCCTTGAGAAGCCCATAATTCATGGGAGAAAACAACCCACTTCTATCAGGATTCCTCCTCCATCAGTGGAAAGTGGACTATGTGGCCTTAACATTAGTCTCTTTCTTGAAGAAGAGTTTATGATTCCGATCATTTAAAAGAATTATTACATTGCAATCGATAAAGTAAGCATTAAGATACTTCTAAAATAGAAGTCTCAACAAGGTAGAAGAATGTAGTTATTAGTCTTTTTTTTAAAAGATTTTATTTATTTATTTTTAGAGAGAGGTGAAGGGAGGTAAAAAGAGAGGGAGAGCAACATCAATGTGTGGTTGCCTCTCGTAGGCCCCCAACCAGAGGACCTGGCCCGCAACCCAGGCATGTGCCCTGACTGGGAATAGAACTGGCAACCCTTTGGTTCGCAGGCTGGCACTCAATCAACTTGGCCACACCAGCCAGAGCTCTTAGTCTTTTTTTCTGAAAAAGTATTTTACTTCAAACCATGTTATTAATCTTCACTATAATTTTAATAGTTTTGTTTTAACTTTAAAGAAGTGGAAGTTTAATAGTAATTAAAAATATTTTTGAGTTGAAAAAACTTAAGCAGATGTACATTTTCCTGAAAGTATTAAAATCCAGAAGTATATTTAAATTTAATTAAAGTATCTTTTACCTATGACATGAAAAAAACATTTTTTAATGTCTATTTTTGAGGTCAATGTTTTTCATATTAAAATTAAAAATAAAATAGCAATAGATAAAATTACCTGGAAAAAACTAGATTTAGTCATATACCAAATAAGGAAAAACAGGGCATTTAAGGCAATCATATTTTAAAATCATCTAGAAATTCAACAGTGACTATATTTAACCAAATATTTTAAAGTGTCATTTTATAGTTAAATCAGTTCAAGGTGAATTTCAAATAAGATGGCCACTACTATTGATTTTTCAGTATCTAGAGTTCAACTTAGTCTTGGCTTATTATGTTCTAGTCTTGCCTTTTTGCCTTGCTGTCTGGGTTTTAACCACTGTATTATTTACCAATTTTTACCAGTTGCAAAGAATGAAGAGAGATCGAAAGCTACAATGAGATCAACACTGCTTATTAATTACTATATATTATAAAGCTTTGGTGGAAGAAGAGGCTGAATCGAGTGTCCCAAATAAGATTGTGGTACCGATCTTGTGAATGTACCCACACTGCCACTGATTAGCAGAGATACTAAGAGCTGACTGTTATCCAGTTTTTGTGTTCATATCTAACTTCACACATACTTTTAGCTTCCAACCCTTCACCTGCATGCAGAGTAAAAACTCTGTCATTTTCTTAGGCTATCACACACTATTAGAAGTGCAGGTTTGGTCCTGGCTTGGTGGCTCAGTTGGTTGGAGTATTGCCCTGTACACCAAAAAGATTGTGGGTTCGATCCCCAGCTGGGATGTGTATGGGTGGCAACCAATCCATGTTTCTCTCCACACCCACTCCACCAAATCAATAAACATACCCTTAGGTGATTTTTTTTTTTAAAGTACAGGTGCATATGAATAGGAGGAACTGAAAGCTAAGTCAACCGATCTTTATTTCACAGTCTTAAGGACTCTTTTTTCTACCACACTGCCACTCACCTTATTCCTTTTGCTGTAAATGGCACAGGTCCACAAATGCAGATGAGAACTTTGGATCTGTCTGAACTTCTTTTCAAAAATTCAGAAAGAAGACCTGATGAAATGTATCCCTTTTTGCCATTCCATTCAGAAGTAGGTGCTGAGAGAACAAATTCAACTTCAAATCTAGAGAAAAGAAACATTTTTAAAAGGTCTATTATTTTAACATATGATTAACATGTTCAAGTTTACTAAAATATCTTTTTCCCCTTGAAGATGATGTAGTATGTAAAAACTGATACACTTGTTAGAAAGTCACTGGAATAGATTATACTCAAAGATTTAACAAAAACATACAAGTGAATTCATATTTACTAAGCATTAGCTTTTATAAATGAGAAGAGTAATTTCGCATTTTTTGAACTCATCAGAAAGAGCTCTAAGGGATCTCAAAGAGCTACACATTTCTATTAATCATTTTCTTATATAAGTCACAATAAACAGCAATTACCAGCAACATGTGCTTTTTAATCTCTGATTCAAACCTTTTATGAGTTCTAGACCTTTATAGCCAACAGCCAATTTGACTTCTTACTAGACTATTTGTCTCAAAAGCCTCAACCTCATCCCACAACCTCGCTATCTCCCCCCTGATTTTATCTTTGTGAATGGTGCCACAGTCCACTTGGTTGCATAAGCCAGAAGCCTGGCATTTACCCTGGGGACCTCTCTCTGCCTCACGCCATACCCGCATCCCGAGCAAGGCCTTCACTGCCGCAACACTTCCCGTCTCTTTCTTCCTCCTATAACGCGGCTGTCATGCCCCACTCCTCAGTTCTTAGCTAAGCACCACTTCCAGTGCAGTCATTCGGTTTTTTGGTTATATGTGTTGTAGAAATATTTTCCTTTTCCTTTTCTTCATAGACCTTACTTCAGGTTTTAAATATGTGGTCACCAAGTAAATGTCCTAAGAGCAGGGACCATATTCACTTTGGCGATCACTAAGTGGCCAGCCCGCTGGAGGCACTCAAGTACTATGGAATGAAATAGATGAAAGAGAAAGAAAGAGTGCAGAATAAAAATGGGAAAGACCAAACCAAGTTTCACAGTGTAGCTATAAGCCATTTTCCCTCCACAGTTTTGTAACCTGTTAAGTGAATGGCTGGTGAAGAGCCAAGTATGATTCAAAATTCTGTGCTGTATCTCCTCCTTTTACTCCATTTTAGCAAAACAAAATTAATTCTTACCATTTTCAATAGTATCAGATCAAATGCATTTCTACACTTTCCAGTGAGTAATTGAGATATTTTTCTCCAGAGCGGAAGGAATTAATTATACATTAATCTATTAAGAAAAAGTTGAACATCTTCTCTTGTGAGGGGGCCTGAGGAATCAAATATGAGGAGAGAAACAGGAGGTGGCTGGTGCAGCGGCCCTCAGGTCGCTGTGCTGCAGTTGGGTCACGGTTCCCAAGAGCTGACAAAGCCTGGTCCAAGCACACGCACCAACTCTGGGACAGAGGGGCAGCCCCAGCTCCCACCTAGACTCCAGCCTTTAGGTCTTATTTGTCCGTTTGTGGAACAAGGCGGGAAAATTACATCATCTCTTATAATTTTAATATTCTGATTTTATATTTTTAAAAAACTTCTGAGTTATGTTTTATTTCTACCTTCAAGGTTCCCATTCAGTTTTAGCAGATATACTAGTCCACCTTATACAAAACAGCTTCCTCAAATACTTTCTTTTACTAACTTATTTCTCCTTTCTAGCACATGAAATTAAGATAGTTTTATGTTGGGAACCATCCTGCCTGGTTTCAGGAGCTATAGCTTCACCGACAGGTGAGAGGGCCCCAAGGCTGGAGCTGAGCAAGGCAGCCTTGGGAATACAAGCCACTGAGACAAAACCTGTCTCTCTGCCACCCTCACATCACGCTGCTTGGCCCTGGGGGGATGGCTGGTTAGTCAACGATGGGTAAGATCCCTCGATGGCAGGGACAACCTGAGAAAGGCACAGTCACATAGGGGCCATCAGGGAAGGACTTGGGGGACACAGAGAAAGGGCAAAAGACCCTCACCCCTCAGCTTTGATATAGCCAGGAGTCCCCATTCTATCTGAAAGAAGACTCCTTATCTCTTGGCGGCTCTGCTCTGCCCGCCTGGCTCTGGCTTGAAACATTACTAGAGGCAGCCCTAGACTGGGTCAGCCCTAGAAGTAAATTACTCTCCTTGAAGCAGGCTTTGTTTTTACTAAGCTATGAAAACCAGCTCACGCTGGGAAGGACATTTACATTATTCATAGACCCTGACCCTAAACCATTTGGTGCTCCTATGTTTACTTGTCTTGGACCCATGCAAACTGGACCCATGCAAATGGGTGCGTTCCTGCCCTTTGTCGTCCTCAAACATCACCTCTTCTCTAAACATTAACACACTGATGTAATGAGATTACCTGTACATTCCTACTACCTAGCCCCCATTGATAACCCTTTCAATAAAAGCCACTGAACACAGGGGCTCAGGGCCTTCTCCACTAGAAGGAATCGCCACTCCCTTTCCTTGCAGACCGAGAAGTGTCTGGAATGACTTATTTTATTTCCCCATCTGTGGTGACCCAGAGCGACTCTGCTGGACAGAGCCTCTTCCCCCTCAGTTTTAGATAAATCTGGAATGTAATTATTTGGTACCATGAGCGCGAGATCCTTGTTTGTCTTGTTCAATTTTGTACCTAGGCCTGGCTCAAGGTAAGTGTACAAAAAACCTTTGTTAAATGAATAAAGGAATTTATTTACAAAGAAGCCATAATGACTAAAAATAAAAACTGTAAGTAGAAGAACAAAGCCATTTGCTGGCATCTATAAAAGTCACACATAAGAATGCCTGTGAATGCCTATGTGCCTTTTTCTAGGAGGAAGGGTACAGCTCTCATTAGATCATCCGAGGGGACCCCAAAGCAGCTGCAGAACCACTTTCTTAGGACATTTCCAATTATACACGGATAACAATAAAAGATAGCAATTGCCTTGTTAAATTAAAAATAAAAATATCCTCTGGCTCTGTTTCTGACACATCTATCACTGGAATAAAACTACTAAGATATATAGATCTTACATACTGGCATTCCTCATTCCTGTTATCTGAAAATATTCATAGTAAATATTCCTTTACTGAGATGCTTAACAAAACAAAACAAAACAAGCCTAGTCAGTGGCAGCATGCTTTCTGCAGGTGTCTGCTAAAGAGTGGAAGTACCTGAGACACTTACATAAAGGGGATAAACTTCTCATGCCTTTTGTATTTATTCACATAATGGTCCCGTGGCTATAACTTTTGGCCACGCAACAGAAAAAGTTAAGAGGAGCATGAATGCAATGTTTAGGACTATTGTAAAGAGCCTGCTGTCCTGCCTATCTCCTCCTTCACAGGACTAGAAAAGAGCTTACCCGGCGCAGCAGCAATCCCAAGTTACCACTCAAGGATATGTGAATGAAGGATTTCTTACACCACATCAAGGCTCAGATGGTTACCATGGAATCAATCTCTTCTGAAGTGTTCTGCATGAAAGCCAACTTACTGTCTAAAGCAATGAAGGCCTTGAGGCATGAGGCAGCACAGACCCGGAGCCTGCAGTCATCCAACAACTAACTCTCCTCTAGCCACTCAGCTTCTAAAACCTACCGCCATCATATTTCTTACATATGCCCCCTACCTTCCTATTTTTACTGCCACAACTCCAAATAAGTCCCTCATGTCTCTTGTCTAAAATACTGCTCTAACAGCCTTAGCCCTAATCCATCTGACACACCACTGCCTGTAGTTCTCCTAAATACCCAGATCCAATCTTACAATAAATACCTTTGCTTCAAAAGCTTTAGTGATTTGTCACTGCCCACAGAGGATTATTTCACAGTATTTGCGGCCCCAGCCTTTTCTGGTTTCTCTAGTTAAAGAAAAATTACTACAAAAAGGAGGAAGACGTGGTATTTGCTCATAGGAAAAATAGCTCACAAAATAGGCAGCTAGGAGTTAAAACTATACAAAACCTACATACTATGAAAACATTTCTCAAAATGAATCTATGAGACACTGCTGCTCCTCCAGATGTACTGGTATTCCATGAAGAAAGGCTAACTATCAAATAAATTTGGGACTACTGAGTTGTTAAAAATTTAATAGATTTCTTTAGAATTTCTCAAATCCGTGGATATGATTGGAGCACATAAACATTCAAGAAACACATTCCATGAAACAAATCAGTTGAAGAGCATCAGGGAGGAACAGAAAGTAGTAGGAGGGCCCAGATTAGGGGCCCACGTATCTGTGAGCATCACAGGCTGGGGGAAACGAAAAGGGTTAAGGTACACTGTTCGTTTTACTTATGCTTCTGCAATCACAGGCTTCTGCTGTCTTAAAGAGGACAGATAATAACGCTGCTCACCCCCAGCACCAACACCTGAGTCCAGAAACATAGTGGGTCGTTATCTCTGGAGCCTGTCAGTAATATAGGGAGATAAGCTGCTGAGTGTTGCTGGGCCTCCCCATATCCACCTGATACATGCTTATTTAATATATGAATTACATTCAAGGTCTCCTATCGCCTGACTTTAGCCTACAGGTTTTTTCAACTGTAAAACAAGAGGATTAGAAGGGATCACCACTAAGATGCCTTCTAATAGCATAAACGTTTAATGATTTTATTTTCACAAGGTTATTTTACATTATTCTCCTTCATGCACTGTATTTACTTTAACAAAACTGGACTCCGCTCTTTTGCTAAAACACTCTGAACACCCTTGTCCTCATGTTTTTTTGTTCATGAAATCCGACAACCCAAATTTCTTTTCCTGTTTGTGAAATGCTAATAGTTTCCCAAAGCCCAGCTAAGAAGCCCCTTCTTCCATGAGACTGATCTCCCCTCACAAGAATAGACTTTCCCTAGACTTCTCTAACAAGCGACTTGCTACTCTCAAAGCACAGACTTCACAGCTACTGCTGTACTTTAGAACTTCTCTTCTACTAGGGTAGCCTGTCATTCTGTGACTGTTTCCAAAATTGAACACATTTTGCAAACAGCGAGCATAGAGATGCTTGAAGTGAGGTGCGTGAACTGTTGGTGCATATAACTGGGTCCATAATCCTTTTTCTTTTGTGCCCCACCCCCTTGCTGTTCAGAATCCTTTCTTTTTCTCTTTCCAGTACGTTCCAACCATTAACCTCATCCTTTCCAGACAGAAAATAAGGACGCTGACAATATAGTGTGTTGGGTACATTCTTTACCTTTCTAGAGGTTATTTGTCAAAATGTTTCAATAGCCTTAGTACTCTTTGACTTAGTGACTTTTATGGTGAATGTTTATCCTGCATAGTTAGAGAGGTACAGAACAACTTCTATTCACTATGTCAAACAGCAGGGGCTTGGTTAAATAAATTATTGTATGCTCACGTGACTGAATAAAATGCAACTATTAAAAATCCTGGTATAGTGCAGATTTTCCCAACTGGCACTGTGGGCATTTTTGATTGGCTATTTCTCTGTTGCAGGGGGCTGCCCTGTGCACTGCTGGACGTTAGCTGCATTCCGGGCCTCTACCAGTTAGGCCCCCATAGAATCCCCTCCATCAGCTGCTACCATCAAAAATGTCTCCAGACATAATGTCCTCTGGAGTATGGGGGCAGGGCGGGGGTAAAATCACTCCAGGTTGAGAATCACTGATTCAAAGTATTCTATACCTGGAGTATATACACTACATTAAGTAGTTAATGTAGTTATAAAAAGTATAGCCATGGATGGAACTGGAGAGCATTATGCTAAGCGAAATAAGCCAGGGAACGAAAGACAATACCATATGATCTCACCTATAAGTGGAACCTAACCAACAATACAAAGATGCAAGAAAAATAAGACCAGCAACACTGAAAGGAAAAGGAACCAACAGAGACAAGAGGGAAGGAGGGAGGGGGGGCGGGGAAAAGGAAGGGAAGGGGAAAGTCAAGGAACATATAGCAAGGACTCATGGACAAAACCAAAGGGGAAGAGCTGAGGGAGAGAAGGAGGGAGGGGGCAAGGGAAAGTGGTGGGGGGTAGGCAGAGACAAATGTATTTGAAAAAATAAATAAATTAAAAAAATAAAAAAGAAAAAGAAAAGAAAACAAATCCCTCCACACCTAAAAAAAGAAAGTATAGCCAGAATAACCATTTTATTTAAAAAAATACAAAACAAAAAAGTATGTATGTAGATATCAGTGTGTGTGTGTGTATGTGTGTGTCTGAGAGCTAGAGAGGGGGAGGGAGAGAATGAGGGAAAAGGAGAGAACGGAAAGGTACAGACCATAAATGTTAATAATCGTTCTTTCAATAACAGGATTATGGGTGATTTTCCTTACATTTTTTTCTATATAAATTTTATATATTAATTTTTCTATAATAAATTTATATAATAAATTTTTCTATATTAATTTTGTAAAGAGAGGGGGGAAATCAGCAAATCAACAACTTCTACTAATATAAAAGTATATGTTACTAGCTTTACTAAAATTAGGTTCTTATCTCCAAATATTACTGTTTTGAAAGGGAGAAAAATAGTTGCTATGTTATAAATGTTGCCCAGATTTCAACCTCATTGTCAGACTGTCCAACCCATTGAAATTAATTTGGCAAAGGTCGATGCCTCACAAGAGTCTGTGTATTTTACTGAGGGGAGGGGGGGCCCAATGTGTAACACTGAGCCAACTAGGCCTCATAGCACTGCTCAATAGTTAAGAGATGAGTGTACTTAGTTTGGATTTCAGTTTACATAGTATCTGCTACTGTACACATTTGCTTTCTGTTCAGCAATGTGAGAAAATGAAGATACACATTCCTGGCTCACCTAAGAAAATAAGCCATCCAAGTGCCTTGTTCACTGTTGCACGCCTGTGTACAGGCACACAGTAGATGTTCATGTGTATTTCATGAATGAATGAATGTTACAAATATGCTAATTATGGGCTAGGTACCTACATGTGCTATCTCCTTGTCCCCCTATCCAAACAATTCTGTAATGTAGGTATTGCTATCCCTGTTCTGCAGATGGGAAAACTGAGGCTCAGCCAGATCAAGTAACTTGCCCAAAGCCGCAAGTTAATGTTTCCGTTATACAATGACAGTTCTAAGAATTTCCTTGCTAATAAATTATATTATCTAGATAAACTCTGAGGACAAGCATAGCATGCTTGCTGAAAATGAAAATATTAGCTCATATACCAGTCTAATTATCCATCCTTCCTATCCTTCCTCATTCCACAAAGCATTGAGCGGAAGCTGAGAACTAATCATACAGACAGCAGTAGAGTATTTCACTTGTTTTAACTATAAATGTAAGAAAAAAAAATTTTATATTCATAATCCAATAAAAATTTAACCAATGAGATGTATTCAGATATCCCATTTTGTCATCAGAAACTTTGTTACTAAATCTAGAAGTGACATAAGAGAGTGAAGATGTAGAAAAGGGTGATTTAATATATAAAAATATAGCTTTAAATGCTAACTAAAATAATAGATGCAGCTAATTAAAATTACCTTATAGTAAATATGAACATTTCCTTTCCTTTTATGTATGAAACATTAGTTATGTTTTTGAATAAAGAGTACCAAAAGTCCATCAATAAGGCTAGGTCTCCCTTATATGTGCACAATGCTTCAGAATATTGTAAAATTCCTAATAAATGTTCCAAAGCTATCTATACAAGCAAAGCTTTTCCCTGTTCCTGTGAGGGCCTGACCGTGAGTCTGCAGAGGGCATAAACACAGTGCCAGACGTCAGTGCCAGCGGAGTGCCTCAGGAAGGAGCGAGGTCTCCAGAAAGAGGAAGAAGGTTAGGGAGCAGAGAGGGTGATGGCACACAGAGGCAGGCAGAGCAAGAAGAGAAAGAGAGGGTGCAGAAGAGGGAGGAGGATAAAGACAGGCCAGAAGCCAGAACAGTGTCACTTGTCCTGCAAGCTGGAGGGCCCCACTCAGCCGGTGAGTGCGGTTAGAGCCAGTCACCCGGAAGGCGGGGAGCAGGGGCCTTTCCCACCTCAACGCTGCGGCCTGCGCAATTCCACCCACCCAAGTTATGTGGACCAAGACAAAACAAAACAAAACAAAACAAAACACACAGCTGACTCTATTAAAAGACACTTCATGTTCAGAGGCTATCAATACATTCCATTTTACCAATTACTTCTTGAATTAAACTCCTATTAAGAGACTGAAAATACAATGTCTGCTCATTATAAGGGAACTATCTTAAATTATACAAAAATACTTAAAAAAAACCCCTAGCTAATAAAAGCCTACCTATATGTGTTTAATTTTTTAAAATGTTTAGGAAAACAAGAGCTCAAAGAGTTAATACAGAAACAAGATACATGTATTTTGAGGTCCTCTATAACGACAATTCAAATACCTGAGGTAGGGCTTCACAGTTTCCAAAACATCTACATTTTTCTAAGCAGGAAAGATATTTTATTTTGAAGCTAAACAAACAGGCCCACAGAGTTAACTAATTTTTGAATAAAGTTTCAAGCTAGTGAAGATAGAATGAAAACTAGAATTTAGGTCTTTAGGCTTTTTAATACATGCTACTTCCACTTTGAAAATTAGCGTGGAAGACTTGAAAACCTAGGACTTTGTATTTCTTTATAAATCATGCTCTAAGTTGCCATACAACTACCCATATATGGTAAATATTCTTAGGTTTATGTCTTAACTATGAGAAGAGTAAATACTTGAAGGATAAATAAGTTCTGGTCACCATTAATTTGTGAAAGTCCTTTATTAAAAGAGAAAGAGGAGGATGGGAGATAACAGGAAGGAAAAAACTAGGTAAGACCCCTGTATTACCTTATTAAGGACATTTGGAAAATATTCAGAAGTACCTGGAGCCACAGGAGAAACAGCTGAGTTTGTGAGGTCTTCAACTTCAACTTTTATAAAGCTTAGAACTATCTATACTATGCTATCATAAACATACTTACAGATACTTATAAAGCCCTAAAATTATTAGAAATAGCTTTTATTAATTACAAAAAGTACTTCAGGTTATCCAATTCACTCTTCTTCTAAAAATTTTATTTAGAATTTCCCACTGCTTTCAAATTTCTTTAGGGGAAATCGGGAGTATATCCATTTAAATGATCTTACTTCAGTTGCCTGTGCTAGAGCTCATTTTTCAATGAAACACTTTTTCACTCTGCTATCCTTGCTGCCTCATCCTACCACTGAGTCCAGCCCAACTCAAACTTTTTCTACTGCCTACACCCGCATTTCCCAAAGTGTGTACTGAGGACCACTGGTGAAACAGTTATTAGTACATGCTAATGTAAACAAACAAAAATGAAGAGAATCTTGCTAAACAATGCAAGAAACCCTCCCTCTCCCAACCTTTTGGAAAGCCACTATGGACATGAGCATATTAAAGGCTCTAAGAAATCCTGCGGTAAAGAAACATGCTTATTTTTCCTTAATCCATCTCACCAAATTTATCCCCATTATAACCAGAAAATTTTGGCTACACTGAAACCCAGCTCAGTATAAAAAACATAACATAAATATAAAACCATAGTATATAGTGATACATAGATGATGTCACATTGATCTTATCAAACTATTTCTTTGAAGGAAGAGTTGTAACATTATTTACATTTAGAAAGTTATTAATTACTTTATTTTTTTTCTTTGAAGAAGCTTCCTGGTCAATTAAAAACTCCACCCACAGGAAATAATGCCAAGACTGACTATATATGTGTGAATATTTAAATGCAGAACTAGCACCAATTTAATACCTTTTATCTTTACATGATAATTTCTCCAATTGGCTTCTCCAAATTATATCATCTTCTGTTTTATTGAAGAACATCAGCTTTGCTTTCCTTAAAAGAAAAAACAACAACCTACTCAAAAAAAACTATTTCAATTAAAATATGCATGAATGGAAAATCTAAAAGTAAACAAGTATAAATGTTTTTTAGTACCAATGAAATAACCAAAAGAATCAAAATAAAAAGAATCAAACTAGTTAAATAGTTAGGACTTGAGGAGGCAGAGTTAAAGAAATGAATGAGGGAATGAGAACATGTCTATTAAGGTCTACTGAGTAATTAAATAATTTAGAACACCCTATACTAATCTAACAGCTTCACAAAAGGTAGTAATTAAAGATAAAATGACATACCTGAGACTGGGTATATTATTCAAGGCATAATTCAGTATTTTAATCATTGATGTGAAGCCTGTTCCAGCTGCCAACAAAAAGAGGTCTTCTAATTCTTGGAACTGGGATATTTTAAAATTGCCCTCAGGACTGCTTACAGAAACAAAATCTCCTAAACAATGAAATATAAACTAAATCAGAAAAAAATTATCTGAGGAGGTTACATCTAGCTGAATTTAGAACACTGGTGAGTAACAGGATGAATGTTTAACTTTCAGACTACACCTCAGTCTTTAAGGTTATGTAAGGAGTTTTAAGAGTACATTAGGCCACCAAGTATGTCTGCATTATATCACTATAATCAAATTAATAATGAGGTTTTATTCACTCATTTCCCAACATTGTTTTCCCAAACCATTTGTAGTCTCTAATTTACAAACTACTGCCATATATTTAAGTACAAATTATCAATAAATAGGTAGCTACATTAAATTATAAGCACCTCAAAAGCAGAGTCCATGTCTACCTGTCTTGCCCAGTACAGGGTAGAAAAAAGATATTTGCTACTTACATATTGATTCTAAACCATAGTAATAAGACTAATAGGAGAGAAAATTGAAATAAAAATGTATTCTAAAGTCTTATGTTAGTAAATGTGCTAACTTCACCATCAAATCTTTGAACAGACTAATAGATTAAAACAAGAGCTGTTCTGAATTCAATTCCTACAAAAACAAAGCAAGATCGGAAACTGTACTTGGAGCATGCAACTTTCCAATATAGATTCAAAATAGTTGAAAAAAAAAAGTTTCTGAAATGCAGTTGTTATAACCAATATATACCACTCACATAATGGAACTGCCTTTAGGATATTTAGGAAATATTTAGGATATTTCAGAAACTTTCAGTGGAATTGAAAAGTAAAAAAAGCTGTCCATATTTTAAAAGGAATTTAAAATTTTTAAATGCTTGAATGTTCATAATTTTTTCTTTCTTTTCCATAGCAAGATAGTAAGAATCTTGTAGTAATTGATGAATTAAGCATTAAAAAGTAACAAAGCTCCTTGTTACAGCTTGAAAGTGATTATAATATCAGAATATCCCCAGGGTATTATTGGGTAGCCAAGAAGTTCGTTCAGTTTTTCCTGTACCATGGCTCTAGCAGTGCTTAGTTGTCTTTAATTTCATTTGAAATAACTTTGTTAGACTATATTGTGACAGCTGTCATATCAGTGTGCATTAAAAAAACATCAAAATTGAATTTTTATGCAGCCACTTTAATATTAAAGATGAAAAAAATACTCAACATTTTCTGTATATTATGCTTTATTATTTCAAAAAAAGTTAAAAACACATCTGAAACGCAAAAAAAAGATTTGTGCAGTGAATAGAGAAGGTGCTGTGACTGAACGTGTCAAAAGTGGTTTGCAAAGTTTCTTGATACTATTGACATTTTGGCCAAGTAATTCTTTGCTGTGGGGCTGTCTTCTGCATTGGAAGATGTTTAGCAGCACCCCTGGTCTCTACCCACTAGAAGCCAAAAGCAGGAGATAGCTGACATACTCAAAATATCCAAATCAACAAAGTTATTGATGAAAATGAAAAATATGTCTTTTATTTTACAGAAAAAAAAATAGTGGACTTTTTGGTCAACCCAATAATAAAGAAGCCTCACAGAATGATGCTAACTTGGTAACTTTTGTCCACAGTCCAGGCCTTCGAGCGTCACAAAACTGATTAGACTAAAGCAAAGTGCCTGATGCTAATCAAATTCCAACAAATTTAAGCACACGTGCCAGAATGGTCACTGATTTATAGCCAAGCTCTCTCCCTTTGGTCACCTGAATATTACACACCCCATCTAGGGCATTTTATTCATTTGACATGTGAAGGCCAGCACAGTCACAAAGTTGCTTGGTGAACATGGGATTGAAACAGAGAAATGGATCATGTCACAGGACAGTCCCTTTAGGCGATGATGAGGCCGCAGCGTTATCGCTACCATGTCAGTACTCCATCTGTGTGAAACAAGTATTTGTGCCATGTCTAGGTCTCCGTAAAAAGCTGAGAGAACATTGATCTTAAGCTTTCAGCTTTAATTTTCCATGTTTTAGGCTAACTCTCCACCTTGTTCTGTTCACTCCATCTCTATGAATAAGCTATAAACACCACCGGATAAGCTTTCACTTGCTGTATTACAATCATGTGTCAGTCTTTCACAAGATGAAGGTCACCTTCACTAGATTTGTGGGTATCCCAAAATTCTTTAGGTTCACATTTATAGTCACTATTTTGACTTATGTAACCAAAGATGACTAATTACATCATTACATATAGATTTCTAAGCCAACTTTCAGAAAACAACGTAATCTTCTTTATTTCCAAATTTTGCGATCTATTTCACTGTAACTCCAATGTACTGCTAATACTGCCTTAAAAAAGGGACAAATACACTTACTGTTAGGCAAAGGCTGTGAAAAGTTGAAGACACAGAAAAGGAGTAGAAGCAGCAAGAAGATTCTCTAAACCTTAATAAATTTCACTGAGTACTTCTAGTTATTTTTTTCAAAGATTTCAATTGATAACCTATTATGTGCCAACTGCCGTGCTAGGTGCAGAAAATACAATGATAAGTAAGATACGACCTTTAAATCCAGAGTCTTGCAAAGAAGAAATATTATTTATTCTTATCCTAGAGCTACAAGCAACATGTTAGGTATTGCAGGATTCTGGGGAGGAAGGAAGATTCATAAAAGAAGTGATATTTTGTTTGTTTGTTTGTTTTTATAGAAAAAGGCACTTTATAGATAGAGAAAGGGTCGATGAGCATTGTAGGGGTCAACTGTATTTATCTGTAAATAAGGATGATGAGCTGTGGAACTCTGAGTAGCACAAGGATCTGTACATCAAGAGATGAAGCTGGAGAGATCACGAAAGTCTTTGTAGGTCATGCGGGGGACTTAATCAGTTAGGTAATGGAGACGCAGCAGAAGTTTCAAAGCTATAGAACACCATGGTTAAATCTATTCTCAGGGTAGTTTGGCAAAAGAACTGGAAAATGCAAATAGAAAGACTCCAATTAGAGGCAACTAAGAGAGACCAGTTAGAGGCCAAGAGAGAAATGAGGAAGGCTTGATCTAAGAGGGAGGCTAAAGGGACAGAAAAGAAAAATCAGAAGTTGAGGTTGGCTCAACAGAGTACAGTGTCTGACTGGATCGGGAGGGAGAAAATGGGAAGACTCCAAGATGGCTCAAGTCTCTGGACGGGGTCACGGGTGAACAGTGATGCTGCAAATAATAAAGTGAGTATGGAGTTATGACAGGTTGGGTGTCATAAGAGAATAAAGAGAACATGACTCTGGTTGCAGACATGTTGCGCTTAAGATATTTGACAGGCTCCTAGATGGAGATAACTAGAAAGCAGTCTAACATGTGCTCCATCCTAGAACACAAATGAGGTAAAAAAACAAAACAAAAACAAACAAAAAAACACAAAATACTAACCAATCTGAAGATGATCAAGCTCTGGTGTGAAGAATCCAGCAGGATAGATTTTGATCAGAAAGTAGATGTATTTATTGTTGGGAAGAACTGGTTCCTTGAACTCTGAGAGTAAGGAATCAGACACAGGTGTATATGGCTTCACTATTTCTGTTCCTAGAAGAAGTCATGACAAAGAAATTCAATTATAAAAATCTAAAAAGCTCTGAATGAAGATAAAACATACATATTTTCTGATGCAATGAGTATATATTGAAGCCTTTATGCTTAATGTGTATATAATTTTAACTATATGTTCTACATGTATATAGTATAGATATATATACCCCAAGCCTATATGTGCTGAAATAATTTTAACAGATCAATATTTTATCCATAATATACACAATCTGTTTTTATTAAGTGTAGTTTAAGACCGGGATTTCTGTTAATAAACCCAGATAATCTTATATTCTATCAGCACACAAACTTTGTAATAGGCCGCAACAAAAATGGCATAAAAAGTTTAGAGATTTAAGGAGGTACTTACATAATAATTTTAATTATAAATAAAAATTTTAACAATGGTTGCTGATCATTTATTTCAGTGTCAGAAAGGGAAGAATTTCACATTTTACTTTACATATGTTAAATTGTTTCAATGTCTACTATAGTATAAATTACTTTGGTAACTGAATGAAAAGAATATTAATCCAACTACTTTTGAATGACGGCCTGACATTAGATGGTGAGGAGAAAACCTTCACAGTTCCATCATAACGGACCATATACACCAGATCCTGGCTGGTATACTGTTAGACCAATTGCTGGAAACACCCTAACTAACATGAGAATGTTACCTTTTACAGCTTCAAAAGGCCAGGAAAATGTTAGACGTTAGTGAGATGGGTATTTAAAACAAATAAACAATTTCAGGATGAAAAGGAGGGAAAAAAATTTGCACAGTAGAAATACATTTACAGATCTTCTTATACTGGTGGCACATATAAGGAATCTATTTATAATCATCCACTCATCTTGAAATTTTATAAATTCAACTTTATAAACGACACAACCATAAGTGGCTTCTAAGAGATGCTGGTGTGTGTTTCTAGGAGTTGTCTTCCCAGAGGGGTATTGGTGCACTCCGTCACCTCTTTCCTCCAAGGCTTTGTTAGTAATAAATTACAGTGCTGGTGGAGCCCTCTCTGTGACTAGTGGCAATGTCTCTGGTCCCTGCAGAAACACCGCACAGCTGTAGTTCCAACATGCAGGGACACTGCATCCACAAACCTAGAACCTGGCCATCCCTAAATCTAGCTGCCCAGAAACATTTAATAATACCCTAAATGGGGGCTTCCTAAAGAGATTAGCACTGATTTTGCACTGCTTATAAGAGAAGAAACTCCTCCCCCAAATCTCCTTGCCTTACCTGTAATAGTTAGCTTGAGGTAAACATGTTGCCCAATTGGCACCTGAAGATGAGTGCTCCGTGGCAGCATCAGACAGAAAAACTTCGTATCGTGAGTAACACTTTCCTTGGAAATTAACTGGCACTTTCTGTAGTACAAACCTAAAAAGTGATTCATTTTCTCTTATTCATGAATGCATTAAGTAAGAAAGATACTAGACCCACTAAGTGAAAGCACAGACTCAGCTTTTGCTCCTTGGTTGAGCTTGAGTTTCACTAAAAGATATACGTTTTTAAAATTCATCAGTATTTTGAAAACCTTATAGTGTTAATTTTTTCCATTTTATTTCCAAAAATACCTATTTTCTAAAACCGGGAAATATTTTTATAATTTGAAAATAAACTTTATAAAATGAGTATTATATTTTATGTTCATGCTCATGTCTGATACTATATAGTATGTTAAAAACATTACCTTTTAAAAAATTAAAACCTAATTTATTTCTTTTTAAATTAACATTTATAATTACATCTTTTAAAGCCTTTTATTAACAAGTTATATACTTAAATTATGGATGTGAAAGATATTTGACAAGCAACAAATCTACATTCTAAATTCTTTACTTATAGAAGGGAAAAGTTTTGTAACTCAAATATTGAAAGTTTAACCATATTAGCACCATAAATACCTTTAGAAATATTTTTTTCATAAAGGCAGGAAAAATATACATTCTTATATATACACACATTTATATACAAGGTCTGTCCAGAAGGTATCCAGCCATGCGCTATGAAAAATAGAGACATTTATTGAAGAAGATATGAAATACAAAAAACACTAGACACAGAGCAATGATGAATCCTTAAAAATAGGCACCTTGGGACCTCACACAGTTCTTCTAATCTCCATCAGCTACCTGTCATCTTTTCCTGAATCTCACTGACGGCCTGAAATCTCTTCCTTTTCAAAGGTGATTTTAGTTTTGGGAAAAGCCACAAGTCATAGGGCACCAAATCTGGGCTGATTTAGCTGAGTCACCTGGGTGATTTGATGTTTTCACGGAAAACCATCATGTGATGCATGAGCGGGCACGTTGTCATGATGAAGCTGTCAATCACCAGTTGCCCATAGCTGTGGCCTTCTGAATCATCTGAATAGTTTCCATGGAGGAATATTCAAGTTTAACGCAAAATTTGATGTGAATCATGTGAGCAGATTCGCTGCTCTGCTCATTCAGTCATTTTGCATGCAACAGCCACACAGTACACATGCTCACCTAACAGCATCTTCCATCCCCACTGACTAGTGAAATTGTCATTGTTTACACGTGTGCATTCCAGGCCACTCTCCTTGGCTAGCAGATTATAGCAATGTCACTCAAACCGTTCTTGTTCTCACTTAACAATAGCTAGAGTTTTTCCAGACAGACCTTGTATATGTATTAATATGAACATGAATTATAAAACATTTTAACTGTCAAAAAATGATTAAAACAAAAAATGTTTAAGGGTGTAAGTCTTGATTACCTAAAACATCAATTAAGTGAAAAACTGAAGATGCCAGGTTTGTGGTACTAAAATAGAAATAAATAAAAGGAATCAAGTAGTTCTATAAATATTAGAAATATTTGAAATTAATATCCCAAGCTCAGAAAATATTACTTGTATACGGAGTGAAATTATACCACTTGAGTTAGAAAAAGTTGCTATAGACGTTCTGACACCACTAATATTTTCACTTGTAAATTCTCTTTTAGATGGAAACAGCACACCAGAGTAGACTGATGACCATGGTTTGTTTCATTATCTCCTCTCTCATAAAAAAGCATTTATAGAGATGTATCAGAAATCAACCTTGAAAAAGCATTTATCATCTTAGTCTCTTTTTTTAATCTAAAAAAATGTATGTGCCAAAAGACTTATTTAGATCACAGGACATGAAGGCTCAATATCTAACAATGATCAATGGTTAGCAGGAGACTAAAATTCACAATCCTAAGAAATTATTTTGGCCACAGTTTCATCTAATTTCTCTTTTTTCCTTGTCCCTTTTGTGCCCCCAAGATTCCAGTCACTATATCTTTCTACCTGCTAGCACAGTAGCTTGGTATGCATATAAGTTTAGAGTGCATCATTGTACACACAAAAGCTGAGGCGTCATTCTGGTCACTACATTCTAGTGCAAGGGCATAGCTGAGACCAAGTTACAGCTAAGGGTGCCACGCTAAAGTTATCCAGGAGGCCTAATCCAGCACTGGGATGACAAAGGATTAAAAGACATAGACTCACCCTCAAGGGGACATGAAGGTTCAAATGATTTCCTTATCGCTTCTTCCAGATCCTTCTGGGACCGAGACCCACATACTACATGCCCTAAACATTTAACTTATAAATTATATGAATAACTGTTCAATAAAATACGTTCTGTGCTGTATCCTGAAATATACCTTCACAAATATCCTAGGAGGCTAGGTTCAAATTCTGGATTCTTAAACTCCTCAGAGTTCCGTTCAGGAAGATGGCAGAGAAGTGAGTGCTGCGCCCCACTGACTGTCTCCGGCCTGCCGCCTTCCTTTGCTTCTCACCCTGGCTCTGTCTGACCCTGAGTGAGGTGTGGGCACACCATCCCAAGGCTCTCCCTGCAAGCAGCTTTGGAGAGACCTGAGAGACCTTAGACAGAAGTGGATTTGGGGCCACTTAAACAGGGAATTCTGGGGTTCCGATATCTGAAGTGTGGTGTTACAGAAAGAGCATGAGCTCTCAGTGGACCTTTCTTGGCCCTGCACACTCCTCATCCCCTGGGAGGGGTGTGGCTGGAGGAGAGCCACCGCGGCATTCTCCATGTGTGAGTCCAGGGCAGGCGCCCCTCTAAGCCAAGTTAAAGGCTGTAGCATTTTCCTCTAATCAAATCTACTGCATGCCTTTCTGATAACTTGACTGCTGGATGAAAAGGTCCACCTCCTGACTCTACAATTTCATGTCAACTCTACCATTTGCAGAAAGGATCTGCTATAGTAAGTATGCATCTCTTCAACTATACTTGGAAAACAAGGAAACCATGGGTGTTAGAGCAATTTACTGGCTTCCCTTGTTAGAGAGCTAACACAGTAAGAATTCTTGCTATTTAACACCACTGAGATAATTTAAGAAAGTTTTCATATTCCAATTGGGCGGAGGAGAGAGGAAGCTATAGCTGACATGTGAGGGATAAGGAGTACGAATCAGATGTGCTGGCTACTGTAGTATGGGCAATGCCATTATTTAAGTTTAAGTGTTAGGTTTTTGGCTTTGTAAACATAGATAATTATACAACAAAATGAGAAAGTAAGTTCTATATCTGACGTGAGAGGGCATTTCATTAAAAGTCTTCAACTTGTATTTAGTTATCTTCAAACTAAAATTCCATTAGCTAAGAGAAAGCCAGTATGCTAAGCAATAATTTTAGTAATCTACACTGAAGACCTAAGAACCATGCGGTGGACTAAACATTTAAAGATACTGACACCAAGTTAATCATAATACTTTGATGATATAAGTATTCAGCTTTGCTATGAATTAAATAATTCATATAATTAAATAATCTACAGCTTTTGTCCTGGTTTAAGAAAGGAAAATGACAAAGAAATTATTTTTGCTAATTTAGTCAAATAAGTAAAAATACTCCCTAAACTCTGAGTCATTTTCCAAAGTAGAAAACCCAATCCACTGAAATATAAATATATATATACCTGGCTTCAGTTTCAGACAAGAAAGCTGAAGCTAACCATGGTGGTTCAGGATTCAAGGAGAAATTTATGGCTGGAACAAACAGTTCATGGAAAGCCTTGGGAAATTACAGGGAATAAGTGAGCAATGTTCATTCTAACTATTTCCAAATGGAGGTCAGCCTTGGTTCTCAGTATCATTTATTTCTTGGATTTGGCTTTTACTGGGGCAAGAGATTTCACTTTAATAATATCTGTTTTCATTTTTATTGTCTTTTACCTAATCTCTTCGGATATGTTAGATCATTCTGTTATTCCTCTATGTTCTCTCTCTCCACTTAATAACACAAAATTCAGACCTCCTGCTCCGGTAAAATTAATCTATTTATACTTTCCCACACATGGCTTACATTTTTCTTTCTCTACAACCTGCAAAATGCTTGGCACAATAAGTACCAGTAACAATTTGAAGCTTTGACCTGGGAAACCCTTCATAGTTTTTTAATTTTTTTTTTCCTGAAAGCTACTTTCAAAACATTGCTTGAAATCTACCTCCTTCAGAGAGTTATTCAAGGTTAAATTCATCTGCATCTGTTGATGTAGGATTATTTCAGAATATGCTCAATTTGTATAATATAAGTTGCCCTTGTTAGCCTGTTTCATTATTAAAGTATTCTTCCATGTCATATTTGTGTATGGTTTTTCCTCCACCCGGGAAAATAATTTCTGATGCCTTTTGTTTCATACCACAGTGCCTAAAACAGCCTTCTGCACACGATGTGTACTCAAAATACTTCTCTATCAATTAAAATATTACCCACAAACATATTTTTGAAATTTTAAATATTCAAAGATGGTAAACTGAATACATGCAGTTAGTTCCTCTAACACCCCCTACTCCCCAAATAAAAACAAAGATGTTTTGTGTATGCATTTGATCGTTTTTTAAGGCATAAGCCTGCAAGGACAGAAGAATGGAAATGTTAAATAACAACAAAACTTTGGGAGCTGAGAAGCCACAGAGATGACTGATAGCTGACAGGAGACACAATGAAGCTGAGTCCTAAACTAGAAGGACAGAAAGCCAAGAATCAACAACCTATTTGTAATACAAATTCCCTTTAATGCTCAGAAATTGGCAGGACCAAATACCTCTGGACAAAGGTGAAGACAGCTAAAGCCACTTTCTGGATGGAAAATTCATTTAAAAAGCCCAGATGACCTCCCGCCCTCAGCTTTCCTGACATCTTCACATACTTAGCACAGCCACATGACGGACCCTCTCTTATTCTGGCAAAATATTCGAAGTTTGCTCTCCAGAGAGGGTAAAACATAGGATCTCTGAATTTGGGTATGTATTATAGGCTAAAATGTATTCCTCTCAATTTTCATATGCTAAAATCATAACCCCAGTACCTCAGAATGTGCCTGTATTCAGAGGCAGAAAAAAAGAAAGGAAAGTAGTTAAGTTTAAAGGCACCCTAGCATTTTTTCCCGCATCACTTCTGAATTGTTGGGTGCAAGGTAGAATAATGTTCACTCTGGTGACTCTGACAAGATGCTGGCATCAGACTTTCCCAAAGAAATGATCCAGCCACACAGTGAGTATATTACTGTGGACAAGCTACACCCACATGCACAGTTTCTAATCAACTATTAGAGTTCCATCTTGAAATAGGGGCAGATATAGTTACGGAGAAACAGACTCAAAGAAAGCATCTACTAGAACAGGCAGACTGAAATGAACAAACTCTGAGGATAGAGATTACACAGAGAGAAAAATACTGTGATAAGAAAAGCTAATAAGAATAGGATACAAAAAGGAACAAAAATCAAAAGAGTTCTTAGAAGTTAAAAATATGAAAATAGAAATAAGTAGTTCAGTACAAGAACTGGAAGACACAGCTGAAAAAATCTCCCAAAGAGTATAACAAAAGAACTAAACTGAAAACGAGAGAGAAAGATAGAGGACTGGTTAAGGAGGTTTAAAATAAGAATACTTCTAGAAAGCAAAAATAGACCATGGAGGGAAGAAAAATCAGTATTTCCCAAAACTGAGGGACATAAATTTACATAATAAGATTAGCACAAAGGATGAGTATCCAGCCCAAGGATGAAGAGAAACCCACACTCAACAGAACAAATTGTGAAATTTCAAAATACTTGGAACAGGAGGAAAATCCTACCAATTTCCAAAGAGCAAATATAGTATGTTCACTCTGAAGTCATCAAGTAGAACATTTATATTATGTACCCTTTTAAATAAATATGTTATACTTAGGTAAAATGCTTAAAAAGTAAAGGAAGAAAGAAGTAATGAAGAAATGAGATTAAGAAAGGAAATGAATTACATCCCTTAGGAGTAAACTGAGAAACCAGTTTAGGTAAGCAGAAAAACAATAAACATGTTTTTCTTAATTTTTAATAGAAAAAAATTACATGTGCATACAAGACATAAACTGAAACTTATTTTGGCATCTTTTATTTAAAAAAAACCAAACCCCGAGGAAGTGAATGGTTAGACAACAGTCTAAGCACAGGAGGCTTCTCCACTGAGGCATCATTATCTAATGACTTTCTTACGCCTAAATGCTAGATAGATCTGAAAATTTAATCTCTGTTAAAAAAAAAAGAGTGCCCCATTTCAACTTCTTAGAGAGACATACGAGGATCCTTTCACTCCTCCTAAAGTGGCCTTCCACACTCTGGAACAAATGTTTCACCAACACCATTTCGTAAACACAGAACTTAAAATAACAGCACAACATACCTGTATCTTTCTTTGGAATAAATGAATTATGATTCTCCAGGGGATAACCGAGACAGTCCCAAGAAGTGTTCTTCTTTTTCTTTAGGACAATCTCTATCTTTCCCACATTCTCAACAACCCTCACTGAAAAAAATAAAAATTTCATTTATGTTTACTGATACTAAACACAAAATCTTACTTTAAAACCAATCTTTCTCAAATGACCTAAATGTCCCAATCTGTATGAATGACACTGATAATTAGTAAAATAAGATTTCGTGCACATATTCACCAAAATCGTATACAGCTTATATGTTAAATCCAGCTTAATTTATTTTAGATTCAGATTAGCCTCTTTCGAGGTAATTCATCAAGGACCGAACTAATACATATTGCTAGTGTTCATACTAGCTCAAGTATAGCCATGGCATAACTAATTAACACATAGCTAAAAAGGGGGGGGCGGCTGGCATATACAAATTAGTCATTGAATGGACCCATAAAAACAAATTTAATTTATACCCTTTTAACACTTCTTAGTTAGGATCTTAGGGGTTCTCATGAATGAATTCAGTAGACCAATACTATGTCTAATAAACACAGAAACTATCTCAGTAGAGTAAGACCCTATGAAGTACATGTGAATCTTTGATAATTAAAAGCTTCATACATTATCTTTATTTTTATTTTTGAATGATTAAAATAGTTTAGCTCTGGCTGCTGTGGCTCAGTGGATTGAGTACTGGCCTGCAAACCAAAGGGTCGCCAGTTTGATTCCTAGTCAGGGCAACATGCCTGGGTTGCAGGCCAGGTCCCCAGTAGGGGGTATGTGAGAAAAGCAACCACACACTGATGTTTCTGTCCCTCACTTTCTCCCTCCATTCCCCTCTATAAACAAACAAACAAACAAACTTTAATAAAGAATAAATAAAATAGTTTAGACTATATGGGTAAATTAATAAACTATAGGCTTTTACACACTGATTAAATTTTAGGAATTGAATGTGTATTTAAAGATCTAAAGTATATTTCATTTTGTCCTTAGAAACAATCTTTCTGTTCTTCCTCCCCATAAACACAAAATTTGATAGCACTGTAATAACTCATGATAGGCAAATTAATTCAATTCAACATGCACTGATCTGAAGCTTACCAAACACAAAACATGGTTTGTGACCTTAAGGAGCTAAATTTAGGCAATTTATAGAGTTACTATGGTACACAGAAAAGGAGAGGCAGAACCAGTGCAAAGTATTCTGACAGTACTTTAAAACAGGGGGAAATGGAATATTACACAGCCTTAAAAAAGAGAAATCCTGCCATGCAACAACATGGGTAAACCTGGAGGGTATAAGCAAAATAAGCCAGGCAGAATAGACAACCATACATGGTATCTCTTATATGTGGAGTCTTAAAAAAAAGTGAGGTATAGAAACAGAGAGTGAAACAGTGACTACCAGGGGCTAGAGGGTAGGGCACATCAGGAGGGGTACAAACTTTCAGTTATAAAATGAGTAATCTGAGAATCTAAAGTATAACATTGTGATTTTAGTAGATAATGTATTGAATAACTTAAATTTGCTAAGAGAGTAGTAGAACATCTGCTCTCATGAAAAATTTTAAAAAATGGTAAATATGTGGGATGATGGATGTGTTAAACAGTAATTGTGAGAATCCTTTCACAGAGTATACCTGTATCAAATCATGTTGTACACATTAAATGTAATTTATTATATTTAAAATAAAGTTAAAAAAATCCTGAGAAATCACCATTCTATAATGAGTCTTCTGTTGTTAAAAAGCTTTGTAAAATTCACACTGTGTATTTGTATGCAACAATATTCATAATTTAATATGCATTGTCAACATTAAACATTCAAATATATATACCTAAGAAAAACTTGTCTGGCCTAGTATACTTCTACAAGCTGAATGTCAGGAATAGGGCAGCGATAAGGAAAGAAGGAAGAATAAAAGGGAGGCAAATTATTTTCTAAGGAGAAGAAAAGTAATGGGTAAAGAGATGGAAAGAACAAGGGGAAAGAAAAAAGGGGGAAAAAACAGAATCACAGGGAGAAGAGTATATTTAAAAATTAATGTATTTGTTTATCTAAAAACATCACATCTTTGTTTTTTAACAGGAATACATACACATGGAAAATAAAACATGCTGATTTATACCCCTTCATATATGTGTACATATGTATGTGTGTATGTACATATACACATAATTATTTTTTTTTGTAAGGCTTACCAGAAAAATCTTCTTGAATCTCATGGCTTAGCCCTAGAAAGTAAAAATATACATTTACTTAAAATCCAACTTTAATTCATATAGTTCATGAACATCATAGATCATTTAAATGGTTCTCTTATGCACTATTTCAAATCTCTCAAGATAAATAAAACATGTTGCAAGACCAAAAGAAAGAAATTGTACACAACTGAAATGTAGAGTCTTATTATTTAAACATACTATATATTTTTCTTCATCTTTCCATTTCTCTCCCTATTAATTAAAGAGCTAATATCCAATTGCTCACAGGTGGGTAACCCACACTGTTCCAAGCATGGTCCCAGGCTGACGGGCCTACACACCAAGAGGAGAGCAGGTGGGGAGAGGCCTGTGTGTTCCAGTGTGTCCATGTGTGTGCACATGTGAATACAGGCCACACCCAAATCTGGCTCAGTTTTTTTCTTATTGTTATCTAAAGTTGAATGTTCATTCAGTTATTGAAAAAAGTTTATTGAGAATGTATGTGTACCATGTAATTTCTAGGTGTTATGGATACAACAGGGAGTCAAAGAGAAATACCCCTGCTCTTATGGAACTTACATTCCAGAAGAAGATACAAGAAATATTTTTACAAACATTTGCTCTAAATTCCACTTTGTTAATATGGTTATCTGGAACTAAAAGTTTTACATTGTTTTAGTCTGATCCAATATTACTAACCAAGAGTTTCATAGTTTTTAATGTGGAATTTTTGTTCACTTTTTATAAGTATGCCAGATGTTAGTTATATACAGTATGAACAAAATTAGCCATAATATTTAAAACAGATGCTAGGCACAGAGGTTTTATATAAAGAAAAATTATGACAGTGCTAATGAATAATGTATACTTTTTTAGAAATATGTTTTCTAGACAACTACAAAAGGCAATTTATTAGGCTAACAAAAAATAGGATAGGACATACTTCTAGGAGAAAAGTTGTAGGTTGATTAATGAATGGAGGGAAAATAAGAAATAAAAAGACATCTATCACTCTGACCAAATTCAGAACTACAGGTACTTCATTAATATAACAAAGCACCAAGCAGAATCCTAAATCAGCTGAGATCTAGAGATTTTCGGTCTGTTTTACAAAAGTAAATGAAATGTCCTTTATGTAAGAATTCATGCTTAAATTAATAACCAAGATTATTTTCTTTTTGCTGTTGTTTTTGTTTCATTTCTACCTTCTAATTATAATATAACCTTCATAGAAGAAGAAAAGGGTAAAATCCTAGAGTCAAATTCATTAAGGATCACAAATGAATTCAGAGTCTGGTATCTTTTATTCCATATTTCAGTTCTGATTTTCTTTCTTCCCTTCCCCTCCCCTCCACTCCCTTCCCCTCCCCTCCTTTTCTTTCTTCTTTCTTTTCTTTCTTTTCTTTCTTTCTTTCTTTCTTCTTTCTCTCTTTCTTTCTTTCTCTCTTCCTTCCTTTCCTTCCTTTTCTTTTCCTTCCTTTCTTCCTTCCTTTCCTCCCTCCCTCCCTTTCACTTTATTTCTATTGTTGACACTATACAGATGTCCTCCTCCACCCTCATTTGCCCACCTACAACCAGGCCCCAGACCCCTTCCCTCTGGCCATCACCACTCTGTTGTCTGTGTCTATGAGTTATGCATATATGTTCTTCAGATAATTCCTTTACCAACTTTCATCCAGCTCCTCCCTCCCCCGTCTAGGTCTGTAACCTCTCAAAACAAACTGTATGGTTGCTGTTTGACCATGGAGGGTTACAATACATCCTTGCAGTCCATGCTACTTTGGCACAGCCTCTGACTTTCCTGCGACATAGCTGAAAAGAAACAGGCCAATGAAACTAGCACCTAGTGATGAGTGCTCAGTGGAAGCATGTAACAGACAAGCTTTCAGAGATCTGTTTGGAGGTGTCAAGTAAGAGTCTTACAAAGCTGGACCAACTAATTACATCTAATCTTTTTTAATTTTGGAAAGGTGAGATTATACTGCCATTTTCTAGTAATTTCATTAGTATAAAGAAATAACAAGGAAATTGATCAAAGATGAGAAACCAGAATGACAGCATATTAAATATAAAATCAAAATAACGGCAGATAAAATATTTAGTACCTAAACTTCAGACCAAGTTATTGCCACACTTAGAGGAAACTGAAGTTGTTTCCATTAATAAGGAAGAAGATACTTACCAATATGTATAAGATATGAATAATCCTTGATGACTGTTTCTGCTCTAAAGGTATCACACTGATGATCAACTATTATTGAGTCTAAATTGATATCCTTAAACAGAAAGCAAAAGAGAAAGATTAAAAAGTAATTTTTTCCCAGACTTCAACAACTGTAAAATGATGTCTGTGCAGAAAAGTCTAGCCATTGTTAATACAGCAAGAACGGTTTGCATGACATTGATACAACCTGGCAGCCAAGGAGAGTAGACTGGAATGTGCATTTGTTAACAGTGATGACCTCACTGTACTAGTCAGCAGGGGCAGTAGACACCATTGAGTGAGCATGTGTTCTGTGTGCTTGTCACATTCAAAATGAGTCAGTAGAGTAATGAATCTGCGTCAACTTTTGCTTTAAACTTGAACATTCCTCCACGGAAACTATTCAGATGATTCAGAAAGCCACAGCTATGGGCAACTAGTGATCAGCAGTTTTATCAGGATAATGCGCCTGCTCACACATGCATAGGCGCATCTCTCATGCATAGGTTTTTGGTGAAACATCAGATCACCCAGGTCACTCAGCCCCTCTACAGCCTAGATTTGGCACCATGAGACTTCTGGCTTTTCCCAAAACTAAAATCACCTTTCAAAGGGAAGACATTTTACACTATTGATGAGATTCATGAAAATATGACAGGGTAGCTATTGGCAATTGTGAGAACCGTGTGAGGTCCCAAGGTGCCTACTTTGAAGGGGACTGAGGTATCATTGGTCCTATGTACAATGTTTCTTGTATCTTATATCTTCTTCAATAAATGTCTCTTTTTCATATTCCATGGCTGGCTACCTTCTGGACAGACCTCATACTTTTAAGATGATCAGTGGCACTTCACATGGCACATCTTTACAGAACCCACAAGATAAATATTACTCCTGTTTTTTCTCTCCTACAACCTAGTTCTACTCTTCAAAGCACATATCGCAATCTGAATTATTTATCTATCTGTACTTACTATCTACCTTACTCACTCATCTCTAAGCTCTAGGCATAAGGAAATGTATAGAGAATTTTTTTTTAACCTCACCCAAGGACTTGTTTCCACTGATTTTCAGAGAGAGAAGAAGGGGGAGGGGGAGAGAGAGAGAACATCAATGTGAGAGAAACATTAAGTGGCTGCTTCTTGTACGCATCCCAACTGGGGATCAGACCTGCAACCAAGGTGCCATGTGCCCTGACCAGGAATCAAACCAGCAACTCTTTGGTGTACATGGAGCAATGCTCCAATCAAGCCACATGGCTAGGGCTGCATACAGAACATTGCTTGCCACCTACTAGGTGCTTAATAAATATCTGTTGAATAAATAATTTGGTAAAAACAATTATAATTAGACCAGGAGCCAAGATATTTGTGCTCATTTTATTCTTGCCACTATTGTGTGATGCTAGCAAATTATACACCCTCTCAACCTCAGCTTATGAAAAAAATAAATTCACTAACAAATTTTTACATGTGTCTAATTTCCATATAGCCTTGGTGCAAGTTATTTTAGCACCTATCATTTATACCAACAATTTTCAACCAGTGTGCCACAAGCATTTTTAACACATCCAATACCAGGCTAGTCATGGGCACTGTTCTTTTCCCTTAGATCGTCAAATAAAAAACATGACAGCCAACACAACAATAGATATCTGGTGTGAATGAATCAAAATTATACTGTTTTTTTGGTCAGATTGGCAAAAAATATATTTTTTGGTGTGCCATAGAATTTTAGTAATTAGTTTATGTGCCATGAGATGAAAAAGGTTGAAAATCGCTTATACCATGCACTGAACACATTATAACACACAGAAGCCATCCAACCTCTGCCTTACTGACACTAATGGCAGTAAGCCCCCACGCCCCCAGGCCTGCCCTATTGGTTTTAGACTATGCAATGAGGAGGCAATAACAAGAGGGAGTGGAAGATGGGACCAGCAGTGCCTCTGGCCCCCCTGGCTCTATCAAGCAGAGGCTGGTCGCCCTTATGGAATGGTCAAATCATGCTGCAAGAGTCAGAGGAACTCACTGGCTCAGATGTAGTTCTGCTACTACAGAAGTAACATGAATTCTCAGAAGCTCCTAGCTGCTAGAACTTGTCTTTAAATCCACATGGTCCCACAAGTGTGAGAACCTTGTCAGTTGCTGGAGGATGTGTTTGGGGGTGTTGTAAATTGCCTTCTTATCTGATTTCCTAGCTGGACGATAAGCCCAATAAAAGCCAAGTCTCTATGTATCTACTGTTATTACTGGATCCCTGGCATATTAGAGAGCACTGCAAACAAAGTAGGTGTTCAAGAAACTGTGAATAAATTATGTCCTGAATTTCAGTTTCAAGAGGGCATGTGAACCCCATTAGTGGTTTAAGTACACTAAGCCTCGACAGTGCAGTCTCCTGTCTCTCAAATCCCAGTTTACGTTCAAGAAATTAGTTCTCATACTGAAGTTAAATGGGACTCTCACTTTTGTCATCTGTGCTTTCAAAAAGGCACATATACTTGCTAGTCTAGTTTTTTCTAAGAGGATACAATATAGTTGTTAAGAACATACACAATGCAGCTAGCCTGCCTGGGTTCAAAATGCTAGATTTGTCACTGTGTGACTCTGAGTAATAACTTAAATCTTCCTTTGTTTCTTTATCCGTGAAGCAGGGATAACATAGTTTACCTCATAGAGTTATTGCAAAGAGTATGTACGTCAATACGAGAAAAGTGAATGGAAAAGTACCTGGCACTTAGCTAACATTTATTTATTTTTTCTGTAATTTTAAAGATGTGCTTACCTTCTGTTTCGTATATATGACAATGGTGACTGATGAGTCTGTTTGGAACCAGTCATAGCTGTAAATCAAGAAAATATTAATTATATTGACAATCATGTATACTAACATATATTAAATCATTAAATGTTTAAAATCTAAACTGAGACATTTATTTCTCTAGGTAAACTTCTTTCCTAAATAATTAGTGGTTTTATCATTGTATAACTGGCAATTATTTCCAAATTTAAAATACCTATACTCACACGTGTTCCAACTTGGATTCAGAAAAGGTGGTGGTTGTTTTTTTTAAAGATTTTATTTATCTATTTTCAGAGAGGGGAAGGAAGGGAGATAGAGAGGGAGAGAAACATCACTGAGTGGTTGCCCCTCGAGCATCCCCTCCAGGGGATCGGGCCTGCAACCCAGGCATGTGCCCTGACTGGGAATCAAACCAGCGACCCTTTGGTTCACAGGCCAGCACCTAATTCTCTGAGCCAGGCCAGCGAGGGCAGAAAAGGTTATCTTTGACAAGACACTTCTTATAAAAATTACACATTTCTTTACTAAAATCTTCTTCTATCAGAGCAATAACAAAACACAGTATGTTTTCTTAAGGAACATGACAAAATCTACCTGCTTTTATTCCTCCTTGTCACAAGTATATTACTACTCAAGAAATTAGTTTGAGTTTGTTTATTGGGTAAACAGTAAAACTTAAGGTAAAACTAAGTCTTCTGTTTTGTAATAGCTATTAATCAAACTGACAAACTAGGCACAAACTAGTAAATACTAAAGGAGGTATCCCTAGGCCCTTAACCTATATAAAATAATTTAACAGATTGTATATGAAATAATTCAACAAATTTAACAAATATAGCAGGATGCTGCTGATAAAATATAGATTGATGAGAGGGAGAAAGGCAGAAAGAGAAAAAAGCAACAAAGAACACACGTAACTCTGAGGGCATTTGAAGTGTCATTAACAAAAATATATATGAATTACTTAATTTGCTAAAACAGTTGGCATGTAATAAATACATTCTGAAAGATTTCCATTTAAAATGATATAACAAATTAGATATACAAAAAACAATAGTTAAATAAATTATAGTGTGGTTATATAAGGTAATGTATACAAAAATGCTTTTATATAATATCTAATGACATAGGAAGTTGGTCACAGAATATATCAGAGTACCAGTAATATCAAAAGGGAATAATATGGAAATAGGTATTATATGATTCTAACTGAGTGGAATAAACCAAATATGAAGAGCATGTACCTAGGGTTGATGGGATTACAACTGATTTTTATCACTTCCTTTTGTATTTCTCTGAATTTTCCAAGTGTTCTACCATGAATGTATATTTTATAATCAAAATTTGTTTTGAAGTTTTTTTTAAGTTTTGTTGTTTAAAATGAACCAAACCTCAGTATATTAAAAATTCACGTTTACAGAACAGTTTATTCTTCAAGAATGTCTGATAAATAAAGCACTACAATTCTCTCTCTCTCTCTTTTTTTTTCTTTAGAGAGAGGGAAAGGAACACTGATATGTGATATGTGAAACATCGATCTGCTGCCTCTCGCTCGTCCCCAACTGGAGACCTGGCCCACAATGCAGGCATGTGTGCTGACCAGGAACTGAACTGGCCACCTTTTGGTTCACAGGCTGGCACTCAATCCACTGAGCCACACCAGTCATGGCAGCATTACAGTTCTTATGTCAAAGAAGTACGGTTAACACAGTAAGCAATTAATAAACCCATGGCTGTTTTATTTTTTTATGTATATATTTTGATATCAAACTGATTTAGTTTTAAAGAAGTAAAACAAGAATTCATACCTTGGAGAAATAGGGCCTTCTATGGCAAGTGTGTCTGTCACTTGGCTCTTAGGAAGCATGCCTTCATTAAAAACAAACAAACAAACAAAAAAACAAGGAAACAATATAGCCACAGTTCATCAACATAGTATTTTTCTTTCTTTTAATCTTTTCAGTAAAGTTCTTATTTGAAATATTATAAAAGGACACAAATCAAAGATGTGCTACTCAATAAATGTTTATAAAATAAAACATTAACACTTGTAACCAACATCCTATTTGTACTCCTTCCAATCACCACCCTTATACCCCTGTTCTAACTTTTAACATCATGATTAGTTTATGCCTGTAGCTGACCTTTCTAAAAATGGAATCTTATATGTTCTCTTTTGGTCTGGCTTTTTTTTTTTTTGGTCCAGTATTATAGACATTTATAGTTCTTGTATCAAATATGCATGATTGATACTGAGCAATAAATCAAACCTGGAGCTTTCTGAGATTTTATCTGCTATTGAACGTATCAGTACTTTGTTCCTTTTCTATTCATGAGTAGTATTATAATGTATGACTATACCAGAATTGATTCATTCTCCTGTCTGAGAGTTCTAGTTTCTCTACAACCTCACTAACAAGTGGTATTATTTTTTCCCATTTCAGTCATTCTTGTGGACATGTATCAATAAAACATTCTAAAAGTATGATAAAGCTGTGCTTTTCAAATTGCATTAGAAAACTCTGAGACATGGAAGAATTCTGCAGATTCTGTAAACATTAAATACTGGATTGGCCAAAAAGTTCGTATGATTTTTTCCATAAAATAAAAGACATATTTCATTTTCATCAATAACTTTATTGATTTGGGTATCTTGAGTATGTTGGCTATCTCCGGTGTGATATAATGTTGATTATTCTCAATTACTGTCTTGATTTGATCGCTATCAACTTCAACTAGTCTATCCAACCATGGAGCATTATCCTGTGAGAAATGTCCAGCATGAAACCTCACAAACCACTTTTGACATGTTTGATCAGCCACAGCACCTTCTTCATACACTACAAATATCGTTTTTTGCATTTTTGTTGCGTTGTTATCTTTCTTGAAATAATAAAGAATAATACACTGAAACTGTTGCTTATTTTCTTCCATCTTCAATATTAAAATGGCTACACAAAAACTCACCAATTTTGATTTTTTTAGAAATGCACACTGATATGACAGCTGTCACAATACAATCTAACAATATTGTTTTGAATGAAGTTAAAGACAACTAAGTGCTAGTAGAGCCGTCTTACGGAAAAAACCAAATAAACTCTTTGGCCAACCCAATATCCTCCCTACCCCCACAATAGGAATACATTCTATAAAATTTTGTTTTGGAAAAAGACAAAATTTTACTGCTGCTAAAAGAGCTTTGAAAAGCACTACTTGATTATATTATTATTTCTCAAACTGCATAGAAAAAAATTAATGTTTAGTCTCTAGTGCTTCTAGAAATTCTGAATCAAAGTCACATAGTACTTATATAAAGTTAGAGTAAGGAGGTACCTTTAAGACAAGCTAGTTTAGAGGTTTTCAAGATTCTTTTTAGTCACAGAATCTTCTATTGAAACACAAGCTTAAGTACCAGCACAGGTGTCAACTACCCACATATTTTTGGATGAGGCTGACTATGAACCCTGAGCTCAGGCCTTACTCAGCATCCGCCTCTTCCCATGTAATTCTGCAGGATATACTTAATTTTCAGATAAACAAAGGAAGTCTCTGAGATGTGACAAAACAGGGCCAAACATATATGAAGCAATTGGCAGTGAACCTGAAGAAGAACGCTCCACCACAAAATTACAGGTGTAATAAAAGAAATGAGACTACAATAATTAAAAGGCAATCTTTCTACAGTGACAAAAAACAAGAAAAATAATCTTATTAAATTATTTGAGAAGCCCTAAAAAATATTTTAATAAGAGATATATGAAGGGGGACCTAAAAAAAATCTTAGAATTATCTTCTGGAGGGTGGGCCCCTTGTAGTACAGGTTTCCCCAGCTGTTGAGTGTTCTAGGGACCCACCTGTATCAGTGCACCAGCAGGTGTTGTTGTGAAAGGCCATATTCAGCTTCAGTGAATTTTTTTGGAAGATGCTTTCAACACATTTGCCCATTTCATGATGGGTGATTTACAAGCGCACCCGCCCACACTGCACTGAGTGTTCAACAGTTTTTGATCAAGAAGGGCATGACCGCCATACCCCACCCTCCCTATTCACCCAGTCTCACCCCCAATGACTTTTTTTGTTTCCCCAGATGAAAAAAAGTCCTCAAAAGGGAAACATTTTGCTGATGTGGAATAGATGAAACAGAAAACAGCAGAAACACTAAAAGGCATCAAAATCAATGAGTTCAAAAACTGTTTTGAGCAGTGGAAAAAACATCTCAATAGGTGTAGTGCATCAAATGGACGAGAGTACTTGGAAGCTGACAATTTTAAACATGTAAGAATAAATACACAATTTTTTATAAATAAATTCCAGTGGTTTTGGGTCCCCTCTCATATATCATAAATCATCTTTTGGAGGCCTCTTACATAAATAAAAAAACATACACATCACAATCTAAGAGTTTCTTTAAGAAAAAGCTATCAACAGAATTCATAAATCGTTACTGAGTAATTTTGATCTTATATAATCTGATTAGGACGAGGAAATCTGGACACTGTGATTTTGTGAAAACCACTGTTGCCTCTTCCTCAAATTCAAACTAGTAAAGAAATCTGTCCTGCAATCTCATGAGAGCGCAAATAAGGCAAATCCTGAACATTCTGAAAACCATATAGTACCACACAAATATAAACTAGGAAAAGAGAATAATGCCATAGGCCAAATAATACACAACACCTTACACGTACTATACTTGGGATAAGTTGAAGGAATCTGAAGTTAGTGTGAGGTGGAATAAAATAATTAGGTTAAGTAAGTGAGACTGAAGAACATTCTCCCTCTCAAAAATGCTGACTTGATGGACTGATACCATTTTGAAGGGATCAGGTATCTAGTGGAATACCACAGTAGTCTCTCTCACTCAGTATTTTAAACAGCTGTATGAATAACAATTTAGAAGGCAGGCAGGTGACATCTGCAAATACACAGACTTTCCACATAGACTTAAATGAGGCAGATATGAGAAGCAGCTAACATACCAAAAGTAAGTTTCAGTTTTGAGTATGCAAAAGTTTATTCTTATATTATTATAATCATAACTTGCATGTCCTTTCCATACAACTGTAAACCTAATTTTGCTCATCCATGTAAGTATGTATGTGCGTGCATATAACAATTTCAGAAGATCTAAGGTCTTAAGAGGTAACTATGCTGGCCAGACCACTGATATGCTACAGCCCGTTTTTAGGGCCACCTTTAACTGAGATATTAGTTCAATACAGTGCATCCAAAGCAGGGCAATAGGAAAGTAAAGGTCCTGGAAGCCATGTGTGGTGGGAAATGAAATGCCCAGTCCATTAGTAATTAGTCTTTAAGTGAAGGTTGTCTGCATAATATCCCACAAGAGCCAATCATCAGATGAACTTTTAAGATCAGTGCCTCATTCATGCAGCGTTATACTACTGGACTAGCAGCTTCAGTTGTTACATTGCAAGCTGCATAAATTAGCCTACAATGTAGACTATTTTCTCTAGTTATAAAATGGTAACTCATCTGACTGTGTAGCTTATTAGCTGAATTTCTAAAACTTTCCTTTAAAGAGAGAAAAAACCCTATTTCTAAACACATGAATATAGTTGTTGTAATTCTAAGTCATACTGAGTGGTTGAAGAAGCCACCACTGCTGAGCCCAGAGACGAGTAGATTAACAGGCTACTGGGCATCTGCATGCCAACACTGGAGGCGAGCTTATGTGGCTGAGGGAGGGGACTTGTTTCGTCTTGCTTCCTAGTGAGCCCAAGTCTTCATGCTGAGGGCAGATGAACACATGTTCAGGGATGTTATAGAAGTGACTAAGTGTAATGGCTGGAATACGGAATCTATAAAGTTCTGTCAAATCCTCTAAGTTTGGGTAAGTACAGACATCTTAAGGATAAAAAAAAATTTAAATACCCAAGATAATTCTGTGAAGCAATATTATACATAATCATATTAGTATGATTTTTTTACTATAAATTTATGACTTACCATTTAATACTTTCTTTTCCTCACGACAGTCTGTACAGTGATTTAGGAAAAAAATCAGATGAGAATATTATAATGCTAAAATTAACATTATTAATTTAAAGATATCAGCCCTTTTTTCTTCTAAGGCTGGAGAGAGAAATAAGGCTAATAAATAGATGGTCCTTTTTTCAAATAAATTTCATCTCTGAAGCTTGCCTGGCCATCTCTCCAGGTGTTTGTCTCCCATTTCTCTGGTCTTTTTTCCTTGGGCATTTTTTTTCTAACATTTTGGTAAATTATTTTAGAAAACATATAAAAACTCAAGTTTTTCCAGGTTACAATATTCCAAATTAGTCAAAATTAACCAGAATTTATTAGATTACATTTTATAACCCATATATATTAACAACCCCCAAATGGATACCTTTGTGTTTCACTTTTATATAGGTCAGTGTGTAACAGGGTACAAGGTGAGGGGTGCCCAGGAAAATAGGAGAAAGCCCCCGGAGCCCTTGGTTGGGGGATGGGGGGCGTGGAGGATAAGGCTTAAAATACTTCTCAGAACAAAGGCCAGTTTAATAGCTGTGCTAATGCCTCGGGACAAAGTGGGTGTAACTTTTAGACCAAAAGTGGTATAGGTAGCCAGGGGTGCTGGAGGCCCCTGGATCACTGAATCATGTTTGCCCTGACTGGGGATGGCAGTTGAAGGAATGTACACCATACAAGGAACGGGCAAATGTAGCTCGTTGTGAGAGGAGTCGGAGATGAGGTTACTCAGGAGGCTCCAGGTCAGGACTTAAACTAAGCGTGGGCGGCCATGATGGGATGCCGTCATGCGGCTTGGAAGCGAGTAAAAGAGCCATAAGAGAGCCGTGATGGGGCTGGTAGTGAAGATAGATTCCAGCAGGCTGCCCGTAGTGAGACAGGAGCCATGCAGGCTGTAGGAAGTGGTCCGTCAGGGACTAGTGAGAAAGCAGGCATGCTGCTTCTATCATGCCTGCTCCAGCTGACTCCGAAATCATCAAGGATCCCGCCTTGCAAGACGTTGACCTGCTGCTGCCTTGCAAATCCAGACTCTACCTGGACTTTTGGAACCTGAGACTTTCCTGGGCTTTGCCGTGAGCCGGTTTAACACAGCACATGCTTTCTTGGACTATTACACAGAGGCTGATAGCAATGCACCCCAAATCCTAAAGGAGAGAGCAGCTGTGAGACTTTGCAGCTGGCTTAAGAGAAGGAAATGGGGAACTCTGGCTTGGTTTTAGCTTATAGCCTTTTGGGAAACAAGGGAAGTGCTGGGTCTCGTGGGAAAGAAGAGCTCCAAGCCTAAGTGCGCTGATCATCCCCACCACCCCAGGGTTAGAATATTGTAAATAAAAACCTGTTTCTTCCAATACAGACTGCTGGGTCATTCACCAAGGCATCATGTGAACAGACCCGTGTCTGCTTGGTTACACTTAAAAATCATCACTGTTATTCCAAATTTAAATGGCCAAAATGCTGAAAATAGGATATCTTTCACATATAAGTACAATGAAATTTTTAATGTCAGAACTCAGAAAAAAATCAACGAGTGTTTTCTTTCAGGATTGCATTCAACTCACAAATCTATATCTTGATCACGAGAGTATACCAAATGATCAAAATAAAACCCTCAGCATGTTGTCAGGATTTAAAACAAAAACTGCGTTGCAAGCTACTAAACAGAAAGACATCACTTGTTACTGTGATAACACTTTGTTTTATAGAAAAAGAAACTGAAGCTTTCAAATTTTTTGTTTTCATTTTCTATCAACCAGAGATCCTTAATAAGTACCTCCATTTCACTCACCTGTCATAAAATAATCATGATTAAGGGGGCCAGATGACCAGTCTCTTTTTATTTTCCACATTTTCCAAAATAATTTCATAGCTGAAAGGGATCTTAACAACATATAGCAAGTTATCAATGATCCCCTCATTTACGACTAAAAATCTGAGCTCAAGGACTTGAATGAAATCCACAGCTCTTGAGCAGCAAAGCCAAGATTATACTTCACCTCTTCCGAAATTAGCACCATACTTCTTACTATGCCATTGCTGGAGTTAATACTTACTGAAAACACAAAAGACCTAAAAACCATTTAAATTATACTTCAAAATGAACTTTGTTTATCAAATGACAGATAAAAATCTATTCATTACAATTTGCAAGGGATTGCTGATGTCCCTGCTTAGTCACTTACTGTCATTCAGTCAGTTCCATCTGTCTTTGCTACTGTGGGTGTGATTATTTATCTTAGAACAAACAGCAAATGTGCAGTATCACAAGTAAATCTATTTTCAGTGTAACACATAGCAGGCAGTTTGATGAATTTCATTTATCATGTAAAACGATGTTTTTATCTAAAAGGCTTACAGATTTTGAAAAATCACCCCAGGTAATTAGTTTCTAGTGAAAGATATGTATTTACTTCCTGCCTGATATGAACTGATTTGTATCTATCAGAATTTTCTGGATCCTGATAAATTAGTAATTCTTCCTTGGGTCTTTTTTAATACAAAAATTATCATTAGGAAGAGAACTTCTACTTAAATGATATAAATTATCTTTAAAAACTCTGCTAGACTACTTTTGCAGCTCTTTTCAAAATTTGAGTCATAGAAATAAAAACTTCTTTTGCTATTAAGTATATTTATATCTGAATCATTTTAGTCACATGAGACACTTTCCTCTCTAACAAGAAGTGCTACCCTGTCTTGACAACTAATTCTATCATTTGGTTGGCTCCATGGCCAAAAGAATTGATCTTTTCTCATAATGCTGTGTGACTGCATTACTCTGATTAGAAACTCTGCTTTCTGGAGAGGTTGGCATCATTAGGATGGCTAGCAATGTGATCTATCAGCATTCTACTCTTCTTTGGTAAGAAGGCTGGGTAAGGAATTTTAATTGTGACCCCAATCTAGTTTACCCCTGCTAAGTGGAGCCACAGGTAGATCCCAGGGATAAAACAAAAACAAAACAAAATCAAACCCTGCTTTACCAGTATGTGCATTCCTAACAAATAACCTGTTGATCACCATCTTAACAGGGATACTGACATAATAAGAAACCACTTGGATAAAAAATTAGGAAAATATGAACATATATTCAGTTTGCTTATATATGTATAAAGAAATGTGGAAGGATTCGCAATCAATGTAGAAGGTAGTTAGCTTTTTGTGTACATGGCAGGGGGAAGGAGTGGGTGGGGGGCAGGTATGATAAGGGCAATTCTCACTCTTGAATCATGTGAATGCATTACTTATTCAAAAATTAAGTAAACCTAATTTAAAGTAAAAGGGCCAGTATGTTCTTTTTAATAGAATGTGATAAATGCTGTAAAAGAGGTATGTAGAAGGCAGTATGGCCCACAGAGGGTGGGCATCTATACTTAAAAGGAATGTGAAAGGACTCCACTGAGGAAGTAATATTCTAGCTATGCCTTAAAACTATATAGGCATTTGTCAGAAAGGCCCTGAAAAATATATTTGAGGAAGACAAATACTGAGCATTTATATCTGAATGTTTTACATTTATCATGTAGCTACATTATCTCATCCTCTCACCTCACTCCAAAAGACTGATACCAAGAAACCATCAGATGAGTTCAGTCTTGTTACCAAAACATAACATTCTTTTACCATATCATTTCCGTTACTTCTTAGCCTTGCCAGAAGACTTGCTGGCTCTTTACAATGTGTGTAACAACCATTTTTTCTCTAGGAATTTCTTCCATATCTCTAAACAGAACTCCTGATAATACAACTTACAACAAATTCTTGATTTTGTTTCAAAAGCTATATACTCATTTCTATCTTATAAAATTTTTATATTTCTAAATTATCTTTACTTTTTACTTTCCTCTATTCATCTTTGTAATCATCTTCTGAATCATCTTTAAATGTAGTACATTTTTCAAACATTAAGGCCCAGAATTACTCCTTATCCTAGAAGCAGTTTACCAGTAGGATTAAAATAAAGACTGGAAGTCCTACCTACAGTGATGAGACAAGAAAAAGAAATAAAAGGAGAAAAGAAGGAAGTAAAACTGTCATTGTTTGCAGATGACATGATAGTGTACAAAAAAACCTATTGACCCCACCAAAAAACTACTTGAGCTAATAAGTGAATTTGATGAAACAGCAGGATACAAAGTCTATATTTAGAAATCGAAGGCATTTTTGTACACCAACAATGAAATAATCAGAAACAGAAATCAGGAAAAAAAATCCCATTTGCTATAGCAACAAGAAAAATCAAGTACATAGGAATAAACCTAACCAAGGAGGTAAAAGACCTGTACTCATAAAACTACACAACACTGAAGAAAGAAACTGAGGAAGACCCAAATAAATGGAAGCATATACTGTGTTCATGGGTTGGAAGAATTAACATCAAAATGTCCATGCTACCCAAAGCAATTTATAGATTCAATGCAACTCCTATTAAAATACCAATGATGTATTTCACAGATATAAAATATACATTTAAAAAATTTATATGAAACCATAAACAACCCTTAATAGAGTCAGCAATTTTGAGAAAGAAAAATAAAGTAGGAGGGATCACAATACCTGGTATCAAGCTGTATTAAAAGGTTACTGTAATCAAAAAAGTCTGGTACTGGCAGAAGAACAGACACATAGATCAATGGAACAGAATAGAGAACCCAGAAATAAACCCATGTCTCTATGATCAATTAATATTTGACAAAGGGGGCAGAAGCTTAAAATGGAGTAAAAATAGCCTCTTCAACAAATGGTGTTGGGAGAGCTGGACAGCTACATGCAAAAAAAAAAAGGAACTCGACCACCAACTGACACCATACACAAAAATAAATTCAAGATGGATAAAAAACTTAAATATAAGTTGAGACACCATAAAAGTCCTAGAAGAGAACATAGGCAAGAAAATTTCAGATATTCCACACAGCAAAATTTTCACCGATTGTCCCCTAGAGCAAGGGACATAAAGGAAAGAATAAACAAAGGGGACTTCATGAAAATAAGAAGCTCCTGCATGGCTA